AATATTTTTACTTGACGCAGCATTGAGCTTAATTTTTTCAAAGCCGTTTCGTCCCATTTTTAATGATATGTCCCTGTCAATTTTTCTATAAAATATATTGTATTCTCGTTTCTTTTTTTTTTATTGCATTTTTATTTTCTGCAGTATCGTAAGCCTGAAGTTGATTTTTTAATACAGAAAAAAGTGCAGATCTTTGTATTCCAATTTATAATAAAATTTGGCTGATTTTTGAATATTTTTACTCCAAGTTTTAAAATACAAACATTCGTAGATGTAAAAAGTTTCAATCTTAGTAGTATATAACTGTAAAAAATTCAAACTTTTTCAACTACAAGAAGCATTTAAAAGCATGATATCAAATGTTATTGACTGTAAGAACAAATTTTAATTTTCAATGTTTGAACTATTTGAACTGTGTAATAACATTCTCCAACCGTCAAACAATAATAAGTTTTTGGGTTAGAAAATTAAGTATACAGTAAGCCAGCAAAAACCCAGAGAATCCTGCATGATGATTCAAGCATCTTTTCAGACGGAATAGTACAAATAATCCCCTGAAACATATCTAAGCTCAAGCTCTCTGTAGACTTAATTCTGCTACGTTGACTACAGTTTCTTCTTGCAACCAAATTTTATTTTACAAATTTGGTAAGATGAAGAAAGACATGGATGCAAAAAATGGTAAAAATGTTATTTGCAGACTGTTTCATAAATTCTTGAGAAAAAATAATAAACAGACTTGTTTGAGGAAAAGATGAAATCCACTGGGAATTGATAATATATTTTTGTAGGTTCATTCGTAATATTGTTGTCTAAGGAAAAGTTGAGTTTTCATGCAAAGTCTCCTGGGATCTTAAAAGCTCAATTTTTCGGCTAGGATGGTCAAGTCCATGTTGAAATCTCGCTTGTGTTAAAAATATTAGAGCTTGAGATGTTTTATTAACTTCGAGTAACTGAAAAAAAATTTAGTATGTAGCTTTTTTAAATCCTGATCTTTTTCTCTCTGAGTTTTAAATTCATACACGGAGAAAAAAATATTGCTACTGGAGCCATCTACTAGATAGCTAGCTACTCGTAGATTGCTACTACAGCAAAACTTATTCCTACAGGAGCAATACTTTAGATAGCTAGAAGGAGCTATACTACATTTTCCAACGGCGTCATCTAACATAACCACATTCCAATATCGAATAATTAAATAACAATATTTATACATAATGATTTCAATAGTATATTACATACCTAGGCCAGTAAAATAAGAAAAGTCTCAGATCACATGTAATTGTTGGCCGAGGCGAAGCCGAGCAGATGTTTGTCAAAACATGTGATCTGAGGCTTTACTTTTTACTGGCCAAGGTGTGTATACTATTTTTCTGCTCGACGTAGCCGGAATGTGGCAACTTTGTTTAGCGCAGCGGCCAGAAAGTTGCCACTTTCCGGCCGGAGGGCAGAAAAATAATTTATAAAAAATTTAATTTAGCAATTAAATAATTTCAAATTTTACATTCACGTGTACAAAACGAAATAAATAAATAAACAAATTACATTTATCGCGGATTTTGAATCCATTTAGAACTACTTAGAAAACTTATTATAATAAATTAACTATTGCAGAAAAGCATGTGCAACATTGAAAAGGCACAAATTTAGGTCAAGACTTTTCCAGGGATGCTAAATTTAATTTTAAAAAACTCATTTTATCATATAAATACGCCGGAGATAAAATTTTCCTTATTCTCTTAATTGGATAGATTATCACTAGATCAAAAATGAAATAACTTTTTTTGTAACAATAGAATAAAAAAATTGTATTTATATAATTTATAGAAAGAGTAAGTAGTGCGCTAATGGCTAAAGTTAACTTTTATAAAAGCAACTTCTCTCAACATGAGAAACATGATGGAAAATTCTCATATTAACCAGCTCTATATTGAACCTGAAAAATAAATGGTTCTTTAACAAAAGAATATCCGAATTTATTTACGGAAAACATTACTAAACGAAATTAACTTTTTCAACACCGAAAATAAATTGTAGTAAGAACAAAAATTGTAGTTTAATTTACTACACGTTGGAAATCTTAATTGAAATCCCCTACTTTATTTTATGCTTTAGCAAATGGTACTACAATTTTTATCATTCTTATTACAATTTATTTTCCGTAAAGGAAAAAATTAATTATAGTGAAACATGATGTAACTCCGGATACTTGGAATAAAATTTTATGACCAGTTTTTTTATAATATTTTATGCTCATTATTTTAAGTACCTCCATTATCACGTATATATGATAGAAGTAATTGAAATTATTTAAATTTCTGCAATAAATGTTCACAATGAGAATTATTGTTATGCAGAACAAAGTTCTTTCCTTCTGCGACCAATGTTAAAACTGTATTACAAAGCATATCATTTACATTTCAATGCTTTCAAATTAAACTTACAACGAAAGTGCTGTGAAATAGGAAAGATCAAAGAAATGAAGGACACAGAAAAAAAATATCGCTCTCAGAGCAGTACTGTATTGCTATAGTAGCTATCCTCACTTAAACATCTGTTTGATTGTTACTAGAGCCATCTACTAGATCGCTTTGACAGGAATAGTTAGATCGCTAAAATAGCTATACGGGATAGCTGGAAGAGCCATAAGGGATTGCTGAGAAGACTAAACGCTTAGCTGAAGTCTCAGATTTTGCGCACAGTCTTGTGTGTTGACATTTTTGATAACCTCAAAATATTTGTTTTGTTTATCGTGAATTTACTGATGACTACCCAATAAAATATTATTTATGTAATCTCAAAGAAACATTATTTAATTCGAAGATTATAATTTAAATAATCAGTAAAAAAATAGTTGAATTAAATTTATCTAGAAAAATGATTTAAATTAGAGTGGAATATTATCAGAACTCAAAACCAATGTTAATTCAAAAACTTTTTTTTTTCACAGAGAAATAAATTAGTTTATTGATTGATACAGATTTATTTATTATGTAGAGTAATAAATTAATTTTATAATAATAAATAAGTAATAAATTAGTAGATACCTTATTTTTTCTTTGATTTTTAAATAAATTTAAACTTAGTTAAAAAATAAAATTAACAAAAATTGTACTGAAATATTTAGATTTTTTTTTAAGTTTTAGGCGTTTGTTTATTGTTATTTTCGTATATTATTTATTATTTTTTTAAAACTGTCAAACTTCTAACCATAATTATATTATTATTATTATTTATTTTCAATACATGCTCTTAGAGCATTTGCATTTTCCATACATGATTTTACATGGTTTTATAATCACTTAGTATTATCACACATGTTACTATTACACTAATTTTCTTATAGACTACTATACAATATGTTTTTAATCTTAATCTTTACATAATGACCAGATTTACACTCATACACACATTTTCCTCTCAATTAAATAAACTCATTCTCTCCATTTACTCTTCTAATATACTCTTCTATTTTACTCTCTTAATATACTCGCACATCTCTTTAAGGTAGTACTACCGGTTTTAGATTTGACGTTCAGAATTTAATGAAATTTGGCATATTGGCACTTTATAATATCATAAATATGCAGTAAAATTTTTGGAAGCCGAGCAAGTCCTGAAAAAAAGATATTAATATCTACATATTTTGGCTTTTACCATTGATCCTTATGGAGAATCACAGACTTTATTTTATTTCACAAAACTGGACGTTGAGATTCTTATAAAAATCAACACAACGAGAGGAAATAACATCTAGAACATATTTAGTAACAATCAGTGTGGTTTCCAAGAATGTGAGAATATTTATTAATAAAAAACATTCAAAATTTATCTCTGTCTCTCTTTCTCCAACGTAATTTAGTATAGGGAAATCTATTACGTTAATCAAATAAGGTTAGATTTTGGGATTTGACACTTGTGGTAACGGTAGTACTACCTTAACCACAGGTCCTCTCAACATTTCAATTATTGGCCATCGCAACTCATTTTCCAGTTTTTCCCCTTTCCAGCTAGATATATACTCAACAACCCGCTCCTTCTGTAGCTTCATTATTTCACTGCAGCTGAATATATGCTCTAGGTTCTCTGTGACTTCTCCACATAATCTGCAGCTCCAATCTTTGGAGCCTTTCCTCGCTCTTCCGACGTTGCCACACCTGAGTCTGGCTCAAGTCTCTTTGTCTTCTTTATTCTCAACTTCTTCATTTAAATACTTCGCTCCTCCTGGGCCTGGTACACGGTGAGAAATTTCTATTATTTTTTATTCTGCATGGATTTTAAATTTTACAATGGTGCATATTACTAGTGAACCTTATTGACTCAGAATAAAATTTTACAATGGCCCATAGTAATTTCCGAAACAAATGAAATCAGACATAGCAAACGGTAGAAATTGAAATGTACCATAGTAAAATGAAATATGCAATAATTTAAATTTCCGAATGTACTATAGCAAAAAAAATAAGAAAATGTAAATATAGTTTTTTTTTATTTGTTTTCTATTTTTTTTAATTTGAACGTAGGATTTATTTTGGCAATTAATTTTATTATAAATAATTATAAACACAATGTATAACTTTTAAATTATTTTTTATTATAATAATAATATATTATTAGAAAAGTGTTGGTTGCAGGTTAACCATCAAATGTTTGTTTTCATTTTAATTTTTCACGGTAAATTATTAAATATTTTATTATTTAGGAATCTTACAACAAAGCAGCACGAAAAAATGAAAGAGCGTGCGTCGCGACTGACGCGCATACGTTTACTATGGGACATTTGAAAATTTCATAGTCACAATTTTAAATTTAAATCGAGTACACGTGACTAAATGTCAAATTTTTTTTATAAATTTTTATTGTCGACTGAACAACAGACATTTTACTATGGAACTATAATGAAAAGTTTTAAGCACACTCACAGTTTTTGTTCAGTCAGTTTACGAAAATTTTTTATATATGTTTATGTAACAGTTACATGGTCAAATTTACTATGGTCCCTAGTAAATATTGATTGGTACAATATGATATTCTTAAATTTTTATGGTAATATTTTGAATTGAGTCATTAAGGTTCAGTCTTATTATGTATGCATAGTAAATTTCTACAGAAATTTCTCACCGTGTAGTATTTCTTTGTACAGCGGGTTGAATTCCGAGTCCACGATCTTCCACCATTCCTTCTCTAGCTGCTGTTTCCACCAGTTGTCGAGACCTTCTTTCAGCTTCATTACTACTGCTTCCTCTTTACCTCCCTCCCAGATCCAACGACAAACTTCCACTGCCTCCATCTCTTCTAGTCTCTCTATCACTTTGCATCCCCATTTCGTGGGTCTGTTATTGATAATGCATCTCATCTCCTCCATCAGACATACTTTTCTAACCATAATTATACTTATTGGTGATAAATAATACATTACCATGTTTTTATTTGAATTATAATTTATAATAATTTATTGGACATGTTTATTCATACGTAAAAAGTCCTGATAAATCCACGCCGCGTGAATATAAGGGCCTTATGATAATTATCCAAATTTTTTATTGACCTTTTTTATATTCTTTAATTTAACTTTTTTATTCAATAATAATAAAATAAATAATTTGAAATTCATCAATTAATAAATTAAATTTTTTATAAATTATTTTGAAATCATTATTTGTAAATATATTGCTGTTCAACTAATTGATATTGATATGTGTGTATGTGGTTATATTATGTTAGATGGCGCCGTTGAAAAATAGCGATCTAGTAGATGGCTCCAGTAGCAATATTTTTTTCTCCGTGCAGAGTTGAAAATAAACATCGACAGTGTAGCCAATTCTCTTCTGGGCAATAGAGGTCTACCCAAATAAACATTTTTTAATTAACCATTTTTCGTTGGTTCAAATCTAACATTCACGACGTCTAAGTTCACGACGTTTTTAAGTATTTCGAGAATAACGACCTCAAGTCGCTAGCGTTTACTAGAAAGAATTGAGAATTATCGAAGAATAGAGTTGCTTCGATCTAAATTAACACGAGGATTCGCAGACTTGTAGAACACTAGTTCTCGTTACTTAACTTTAATCGATTTTAATTTCAACGATAAGTTAATTTGTAAAATGTCTCTAATTTAATTTACAGATTATTTTAATATGTACAAAATGATTTCAATGAAATTGAGGATTTTGAAACGGCAGCCTTAACCAATAAAGTAAATTGAAATAGGAAAGAGCAAGAGAAGAAGCAACAGGGTCAAATTGTTAGGAATGATCAACTCTCGGGAGAAAAGAGAAAAAAACTGAAGTACGTGATGAAATGAAAAATATAGCAAACACACGGTTTCCATTTTAACAAAGCTAGTAGAATAAAACCGCGCGATATTTTTTGTAGCTCCTCGATTGCATAAATGAATAGTTTTATGTTTGTTATTTTTGGTCTAGTAAAATTATTTTCATAGTCATTTTTCAGTTTCATTTGTTCTGTTTAAAAATACATTTTGTTATTAATGTGTTTATTTTTACTTCAAATAAATTCGCCAATATTATATTGAAAAACTTTAAAAAATTGTCATTTAAGACTTGAATTAGAAAATTAATCGCACAAAAAATTTAATTATTGGTTTTGTCAACACTATTTCAATAAAACTTTTATGGCTGTCTAAGCAATATCTTTCAGTTTTTTTATCTAATTGTTTTGAAACAAGTAACTTTAAAATTTCGTCTGCTTCAGAAGAAAATAATTGTTAAAACAATGAAATGTTCGAAAAAAGAACAATAAAATAACCAAACTAAGTTCTTCAAAATAAAATACCTAAAACTATTGGAAAATAAATTGGAAATGAAAAAAGTAATTGAAAATATTTAGAGTAAACCAAGAAACAATTGTCTTATTATTAATAATTACAATCGATTCATTTCAGATAAGGTTCCGTATCATTTCCTCATTACTTTTGGTAATCTAATCTGGTTGTAAGTACGACTAGTACGTTTGATAATGGTAAATCTATTTTGACAGTACATTAAATTCAATTCAAAATCGTCCACCGTTGACTATTAAATCATCAAAGCCTCATTGGTGGCTTTCAAATGCACTATTACGAGTGTCTATTACTATTGATCAGACAAATATTGACAACCAGCATTATCATTATTGTCATAGATTTGATTGATTAATTGAGTTGCGTCGGTGATTATTATGAATGGGTAATAATTAGTCATGGTGATTATAATGGTTACCATTGTGATAATTTCGTAAATTACAGTCACCAGAAGTATTTTCATGGAAATTGAAGCTATATTTACGGTAAAAAAAAGAGCCCTTCGGCAGCCGAAGTGAAAGTAGATTTCTTATTGACATAAAATCACAACACTAATAATAAAAATACTTCAATCACATTTATAGAATCCCTTTTTCTTAAGTTACGAAAAACTTGTATTATCGAAGAAACGAATGTAACAGCAAATTCCATAATATAGGCATAGAGAAGTAGAACGTAATTTTGAGACTACACATACATTATGGTACTCAAATTAAAGCTTATTTAAAGAGCTTTCAGATGCAATTTATAGAGCTTCAATAAGTCATTACATTCAAAAGTTATTCGAGAAAGAAAATGAAGAAATATGAATTTTTACGATTTTTTAATTTTAAAATCGTGCCATTTTTAAGCTACTTGCCGATTAAGCTTATCTTTAATCTTGACCTTGGTATTTATCTGTAAAATAAGTATGTTAAGTTTGATAAAGATCCGTAATGAATTGAAGACGCTATCGTCGTGACAGGTCGCGTTATCTCATATATCAACAAATACTAATTATTTATACATAATTAATTTTTTCACTTAGAGACTTGTAATGAATTAAATTCATAATAATAATGAAAAATATATAAAGAGATACAAATAAGATTTGAATAAGATCTGTTTGAAATATCGATTTATACTGCAAATATTTAATATCATTAAATTCTTGGTTTAGGGGAGAGGTGCTGCAATTGTAACAAAAATTTTTATTTTTTTTATTCCATTTGTTTTTCATTGTATAACCTGAAATATCAGCAGAGCAATTTTTTTTTTTTTCAATTTGACAGCTGACGCAATTGATGTCCGAATTTGAATAGAACCACCCTAATAAATCTTTCCGGTTGTTTCAACTATTCAAATCGAACAATCTGTTAATCTCCTGGTCTAAAGGAGAATCACTATTCACCAAACCAGAACTCCCGAAAAAAAGCAATAAATATTCTTCAGATTTAAAAATATGCGAAAAGTTTACAGTGGTAAAAAATTAGAAAAACGGTTCACCCTAAAGGCCATCCCTGCAACTTCCCGCTCATTTTGTACTTAAACGCTTCAAACTACACATATTATTTTTGTGTCAATTTGAGCTCTTCGAGCTCAAAACTCTAATAGCAGTTTAAAGACACAATTTTTTGGATTTTCAAACGGCAATAACTTTTAAATGAATGAACCGATTTTCACGCGGTTGGCAGCAATCGACGCAGCTTTTGAAGCTCCATGAAAAATTTTCAAGTTTAAATCGATCGAGCCATGAATTTCGAAGTTATTACAAAAAAACACTTTTTTCGATTTTTTTCGACAACGATATCTCACGAACGCATCAACCGATTTTGACGTTTTTGGTAGCGATCGATGAGGGTTTTCAAGGTTAAGAGCTGATTAGTTTTTGAAACCGATCGGTTCAGCCAATTCGGAGATATTTAAAAAAAATAAAAAAAAAACAACTTTTTTTTCACTTTTTTTTTGCATTTTCTCGAAATCTACCAGTCCGAATTGGCTCCAACTCTCAGAAAATCTAAGTTTGGCGAAGCCCTTTCGAATGACACCAACCGCGATGTGGCAACTTTGTTTAGCGCAGCGGCCAGAAAGTTGCCACTTTCCGGCCGGAGGTCAGAAAACTCGATTTTTGTAAAACGGGGTCAAAACAATAACTTCCCGATTTTTGAAAATCTGAGATTTTTAGCGGGAAGTTAAAAATTATCTCAATTAGAGTTTGTTATTCAAACAGTAAGCACTTTATTAATTTTTAAAGCAAGTTTCTGTTGAAAAAAAAATGACACGAAAAACTAATTAGTATATTACATACCTAGGCCAGTAAAATAAGAAAAGTCTCAGACCACATGTAATTGTTAGCCGAGGCGAAGCCGAGGTTGACAAACATGTGGTCTGAGGCTTTACTTTTTACTGGCCAAGGTGTGTATACTATTTTTCTGCTCGACGTAGCCGGAATGTGGCAACTTTGTTTAGCGCAGCGGCCAGAAAGTTGCCACTTTCCGGCCGGAGGGCAGAAAAACAAATTTTAACAAAGAACTAAAAATTTAAACATAAATTAATTAATTTTTTTCTTTTCTAACAAAGCAAACTGGAATAAAAGTTTTATGAGTTTTTAGCATAAACTAATTACTCAGTAATTTGTTATACATTTCAGAGTAAAACATTCCAAGAATTCTTTTGTATATATAATTAATACCCCATCACTCGTAAACAAAAAGGATGAATTGATCAAAGGAACTTTGAGATTGTATACAAATGAAAATTAGATTGTTAATTTAATTAAATATCACACATAAAGTAATAAACCGAAAGGCAACTTAAAAGTTTACTGTTTTACTGCACTAGGACTCAAACTAAGCACGTTTAATAAAATAAAAAATAAATAAATATCTAAACTTATCACTGGTCTTGTTCCGAATGAAGGTATATATTGTCAATTAAAGTTTTAGGAGCGTGCAGGATGCCCCAGGGGAGCATTCATTGGCAAGGGACTGAAAGGAGACCCTGCGGTCCCGGAGCACAGTGGAATGTTCAGGTGAATTATTTCTCGGTTTTATATACTTATAAAACTTGTCATCTTTTCCTATCTCTACTACAGCCAGTAACATGATCTACCACTCAGTATATCCCTCTACCTCTCTATACTTCCATCGACCATGTAATTAATTAAATTTATTTGATACCATCTAGCCACTACATCCTCTCTGCCGAAGCTCTTAATGCACTTTTCGCTTAGTGCCTTAAATACTTCAATTATGCTTTTTGCTAATAATACCTTTAATCCTTTTCCGTTAATTTTTTTTACTTCATTTTCGCCCTACGTGACTGATGAGTTATTTAAGGAAAAAAGAGAGTTATAATATCAAAGATTCAGTCTTAAATGTTGCACACCACCAGCGCCCAGAGTTAGATTATTTTTAATTACTTGATCATTTTTATTAAATTGTTTAAACGAATTTAAAAACTCAATTTTTATAATATTCTGTTGTTATGCAATCCATTTCATATCAGGCGAAGTCGTCAAAAATTGAAGATATTATGTAATGAGTGAAAACAGTCGATAAATTTAAAATTATGATTATTTAACCGGCATTCAATCGTGAAAATCCAGGTTCGAGTCCTGGCTTAGTTCCGATCCTCATATTTTTACTTAGTTATTCTTTGCTTTAATATAACAAATATTCGAATAACATATCGTTAAATCAACCATCAAAAGGCTGAAACAAACTCATCAATTATTAAAAATTATCTGCGGTCTTAAAATATCAGAAATAGAAAATATCAAAATCATTTTCACGATTTCACGAGAAATGGCATATATTTGAATAAAAAAATTTTTTTTAATGATCATCATACTTCATTATTTACTTTAAATTTATTATAAATATAACTTCATCAAAAAATCACAATTTTTTAATTCTATTCTTTATTTTTAATTCAAAGTTTTTTTTTTACTTTTTTTACAAAAACTGTATTTAATTTTAAAACTTAGCTATTTGATTCAAATTTAGTGATAAATTACGAGAGGTACCCATATCAACTAAAGAACCTAAATTAAACTTAGTGATGACTCATGAGAATGATAAAAGTAATATAATGAAGTTAAAATTAATTAGGTTGTACGAGGTAAAGTGACCACAAGGTGTCTCTGGCACGCTTGTAGAGCTTTGGGAATTGGATTACTGCTGATGCTTTTAGGAGCTTGTATGGCAACTATTGGTAAGTATTTCTGTAACTACCAAGATTAATGTGTAGATATTCACATGAATATGCATATACGTATATATTTATGTATGTATGTATGTATGTGTGGAACATATGGTTTACGGTGTGCATGTACGTACATGTATATACATATATTCGTTCAAAGAGAATATTAATTCCAGTCAGAGTAATCAGGATACACTCCATTGACTTTTGATGCGCTATTATATAGATATATATCCGTGACGCATTTATTCCAGGCTACTACGCAGATCAGTTATCCGTGGCACAAGAGATTAGAGGTAACATGACGATCAGAGTGAAGAATGAATCGAGGGGGTTTCATCTCAATAATCTCAGCTACGCTGGACCTATTGTCATGGGAGTTGGAGGTAATTTTTTCAAACATTTTTCTTTCTATTCATAGACAGTTAACTTTTAATATCATTATAACTTTAATTAAACTCTGGTGAAAATAAGCTTGGAAACTTTAATTATTCATATCAATTTTATCATTTAATGTGAATATATATTTTCTTCTGTTAGTTAATTCTTTGGGGTGTTTACTCAATTATTTTCATTAGAGTTTCGTACAAGTTCATTTATATCCAGGTATGAAACTTTTTATAAATACTTTTATTTCAATTTAAGAACGGGTCCCATCTTTTTCTCATTTCACTCATCGAGAAAAATCTTACTATCTTTTTCGCCCTCCCAACAGCAAAGCTATTGCAGATTGATGAATTTTTCTTATACAAATTAAAATTTCGAGAAAAACGCTCGGATATAAAATAGATAAGTACTAATTACATAATCTATCGAGTAGCAGAGAGTTATTTTTTAATTTTTCTTTGTTTAGGGGAAATTCACAAAGCTACAATAACTGGGACCGGCTTTAAATAAAAATCTGTAAAACGAATTGGAATAAAAATTTTTGTTCAGTATTGTTTATGATTGCAGAAGTGTTGTAAGCTATTCTCAGAAAAAATTTTCAGATATGACTTGATATAAAAATTACCCATACATAGATATAGACATATCTGGCTTGATCTGTGCTGATGGACAGTTACAATTTTTGTTGCAAAAACATGTCAATTAACGTAAAGTTTTACAGAGAATTTAAAAACTATAGAAATATAATAAATTACTTTTTTATTTTCATATATAGCCCTACTACAATCAGATATGAAAATTTGCCATGTATGTATAAATGTATGTATGTATGTATGTTCATATCAGAATATTATTTCACGAAATGCAACAGTCAACTTTTCAAATAAACTTTAACTTAATTAATTAAATTTTATGCGTTCTCTATTGAAGGGGGGTATGATGAAGAGGAGGAAAAGTTAAATTACATTTATAATATTGCCGGTAAAATCCACAATACTCGCTATAATCCTAAATATTAAAAATATTTATGCATAAAAGTTTTTTTTTCTGGACCCGAGAAAGTGAAATTAACAATGGGTGTGAAATCACAGGGACAATTTTATGAAAAATTCGATCATACATACGAAGAATTTCACACAGTCATGCATTAGAGAGATAATGCTCTTTATTAAATTGTTTTTAATGAAAAAATTAATTTAATCCAGGCAACTCGAGATACAACAGCTAGTAATATTATAAAACTTTTAAAAAGTTGCTACACTGCATAATTATTTGCATACTCCACGTTATACTATGCAAACAATTTATTCATACTCGATAGCCATTTATCAGAATCAATACTATTTATGAAATAAAATTGCATAACTCCTAAGGAAACAATTGCTATTTTTAATTTCTAATTAAAAAATCATAAACTTTGATAAAAAAAATTGGTTGTCTGTAAAGTCGGTTTACGGACGATAGTTTTACGTGATAAAGTCATAAAGAAACATTGATGAAAAATTGCATACTTTTATGGATTGAATTAAATTATTATTATCACTGAATTATCATTATTTCGTATTTAAAAATTTCAAAATTTTGAATATTTAAAAATTATTTTAACAAAAAAAAGGACTTATTGATAAATTGTTAATCAAAAATTGATACAATAATTTGATAATTGATATGATTATTATTATTTATAATTAATATTAATTAATTTATTACTTTTTATTATTATTTTATTAATTTATCGTTTACAATTATTATTAATTTATTTATTTATAATTGATATTCTTTATATTAACAATTATTAATATTATCAACAATAATAATCTGATATAATTGATATAATTTGTTTAAATATAATCACGAACAATTAGTTATAGAGCAATATTCTGACTGCTAGCTCTGACGTTACGCGAGAAGAGAGATATGTGGTCACAAGCCAACGCTTAGGCCTCTCTATCGTTTGTTTTATCGTGCCTCTCTATCGCTTGTTGCGCGCTCTCGCTTGCACGCACAGGCTCAGGTGGAACGTTACGTGGAACGTTACTATTTTTCATGTGTGTTGCTGGTATCCATCAATTTATAAGACGTTATCACGTCAAAATTTTATAACGCAAATGATACTTAATCCTTCATCAATGTGTTATTAAGGAAGAATCCAGATTCATTTTTAACTATATAAAAAGCGGTCTATAACACTGAAGCTATCAAATTGAGCATTCAATTTCTGCACTCTCGTTCAACTAGCTCAAGAGCTTTGGAAAATACCAACAATAGAGTGTTATTCGTTCCGGCTGATAGAATCCCCGAATACCAAGCATTGGCACAACCGCGATGTCGATGGTAAATTTATTTTTATCTCTATCTCTATGGAATGCATATCGGACAATAAACGTTAATCTGTTGTTATTGACAGCTACTATTATAGTTTCATAACACTTCCAAATGATGAATTAGTATATTACAACCCTAGGCCAGAAAGTTGGATTTCCTGGCGTATGGGATATGATGGCCGAGGCGAAGCCGAGGTTTTGCCGGGTGCGAGGGGGGCGCCGCCCGACTTTTGCAAAGCCGAGGCGAAGCCGAGGCTTTACTGGTCGGGGCGGACAAAAAAAAAGTAAAAATTAAAAAAAAAATAAGTTATTCTAAAGTTTACTAACAACTGTTCTAATTAAGAATAATAAAATGCACAGAACTTGGCACAAATATTTAAACTCGTTCTAATAACAGAATTTATTTTTTTGAGTTGATTAAAAATTAATTTTTAGTTAATAATCGACGGCTAAGAAAGATTGAAATTAAATGATTAGAAGCTTGTAGAGTACATGTACCTATTATTTTATAAACATTGCTTGACTAGCTGTCAAAATATAAAAGAAAGCAAATAAAGTCCACAAAACTCTTATATTTTATTTCATATAAACTTTTTATATGAATCATTTATGTAGTGTTATTATTAAATAGTTCATTAATAATAATCTAGTTATAAATTATTTTTTTGACACTTTCTGGTTAGTTTATGCGCTGACATGTTATATACATACAGACGATGTTGTGATGTTGTGACTGCACTGTAAAAAATTTTACGTCATTGCGTCAAAAAACTTAGTGTTAAAAATTTTTGTGAATTTAATAAATAGAATAACTTTTTGACGCAATGTACGCAATAGTATATTACATACCTAGGCCACTAAAATAGAAAAGTCTCAGATCACATGTAATTGTTGGCCGAGGCGAAGCCGAGGTTGACAAACATGTGATCTGAGGCTTTACTTTTTACTGGCCAAGGTGTGTATACTATTTTTCTGCTCGACATAGCCGGAAAGTGGCAACTTTGTTTAGCGCAGCGGCCAGAAAGTTACCACTTTCCGGCCGGAGGGCAGAAAAATTTTTTACTGTGTGTTAGACAGTTGAAACTCACGCCACGAAAATATGAAAAGAAGTGAGGTTCTGTGCTGCCCGGCCAGAAAATATGCGTAGCGCGCATGCGCCAAAACAAGCCAGAAATGTTGCTCTTTCTGGAGTAAACTGCGTCCAGAAAGAGCGTACTTTCGGGTAGGAGAGCAATTATTTGCTTTACTCTTTTATTTGTTATCGTCAACGATGCGGAAGCTAATCTCTATTATGTTTTTTGTTTTCTTTTTCATACAATATTAGCAACATTAAAATTCTAAAAGGTGTGACACTTATTTATAAGAAAGCTATTCCCCCTGTATATAAGCTTATTATCGTTGAGGAATAATCAATCAAACTGTACCATATTTTATATAATACATAATATATAAATTTAGTATCAATATTGACGCAAACACTGTCATTTTTCAAGAGGCTAAGATGAGATGGTAATATTTATAACCAGCTAGGATGTTGAAAATGATTAAATATATAACGAAACATAATAGTGCTCCAATAATCAGTACACTGTCAATAACTGGGTCGTTTTCTTTAGTGCATCAGTGCAAAATATCTTTATTATTTTACGAATGGTTGAGTACTCACTAACTGTAACGAAAATTCAATGACTTATATTACTCTTTTATTTACTAATGTAGATATTATAGTGTACGAATTGGATAATCGGTTTTTTTCTTGAAATTTACGGTAGTACTGTCGGTCATAGAATTACCGTTCGGAATTTATAAAAATTTGGTTCATTAGTATATTAATAATTAACGTAAGATAATGATCTCACTAAATTTTCGAGGAGCTACAAAGAACCAGTAAAAAATATTGAACTTGTAAAACGTTCGTGTTTTACATTGAATCTTATAAGAAATCACAATTTTTATTTTATTTCACAAAAAGCACTGTTCAGATTTCAATGAAAATTAAGGTAATCAAAGATAACAACATATTAAATATTTGGCATAATTGAAAGTTTAGATTCAGAACATGTAGTAGTACTAAGTAATAAACAAACTATCAAAAATAATCTCTATCTCTCTTTAGTAGTGTGTATTCGATTTGAAAGCACTGTCAAATTGTAATATACTTCAAATTTTTCCTTGACTAAGGCAAAGTAAAATAAAAAATTCATGATTTTAGCAATTTATCCTTGTATGTTAACACATTTATCTATTACCATCTAGCTCCTAAGCTAATACTTATCAGATTTTGACAAATGAAGGGTCGCTAGCTTAATCTTATATAAAATCCGAGTGTCATAAATTACGTGATGTCTTATTGATTCCAATATCGCGAATATGACTTGCATATAAAAAAAAAACAAATTTTAAACATACATGTCGAGTTTGATATCGAATAGAGAATTTAATATATTAAATTAATTTATTTATATTATATACTTGAAAAAGCTCAAGAGTACTTCAGTGTTTTGAGTTGGTAACTTTTGAAAGTTACTAAAACCGTCAATTAAAAGTTTTAATCTGGCTTAAATTAGGAACTTCTCTATTTAAAACATTTTGGCAACCCGTTATGGTGTTGAAGTATCTATTTCCGGTTGTGTAGAGAAGTTATTCCTCTATAAAGTAAGAAGCGTTTACGTACTTAGAGATAACAATATGTGACAGAAGCTGTTCTCCGCACAATGGAAACTTCTTTCGAACAATCCGTAGCAACTATAGATGATTTTTTCTCAGGTAAACTTCTTGTAAAGAACCATTTCCATCATTTCCTTTCCGCGAAACGTATGTGAAATTTCGATAAGGCTCTTTATTACATCTAAGATGCACGGTATATAGATATAGACAAGAGTAAATAGAGCATCTAAATCGCTTATAATTTGGTTCTATGATGCATATTGGAAATTTTATCATCTTAATATCCTATCTCAGGGAAAATCAATCAATTTATTTAAATAGCTCTTGCTACTTAAAATAAGGCTACATATTGTCTATTAAACTTGATTGTTAATTAAAAACATGCAAATCACGTTAGTACAAATTTTTAATGTAAATATCATATAGAATATTCATAAAGTTAGTGATTATAAATATTGGTGAACATCAAATTTGTAAACAAAAATATTTGTAGAAAGCAATCAAGCACACATCGTTATGCGGGACTTAACATTCTGGATATTTTATCAATTGTTAACAAAGGCTCTCAAATATACCTTTTACATTTCGAGCGGAATTGGAAATTTAATACATTATTAATTAATAAATTGAAATAAATGATTTCTCTAGATTTTAAAATTTTAATTTAAAATCAAATTGGAAATGTCAATAAACTTGACTGGAATAATATTTTATTTTAAAAAATTATGACAGTATTATTATTATCATCAATATTGTAGTAATCATCCATTGAATTTATTATTATCATTCTAAATGAACTATTATCTGAGCAGTATAGAATGATATAAAACGGATTGTCTGCTGATCGGTAGTATGATGACATGATGAGTATGTGAATGTATGTATAAGTTATAATAGAGTATTATGTACGCGTCTTTTGTCGATAAAATCAATAGAGTAAATCTACAGACAACCAGACAGACATCTACGAAAACATTAAATATGAAAAAGGCGATTCTAGTACAACTGGGACGCGGTGAATAATCGATTCCCCTCTACACCATATCACCTCCGTCGGAATTCAACAGATACACGACATACCGTGCACTCAATATTTATTACCATTATTCTTGTACTATTTTTTCTCCGTTTACAAGGACAAGCTTGAGTTAATCACTGAATTAATTACGAGTTCAAATTTTTCAGACCATAAAAATTTATACAAGTTGAAAAAAAAAAAAAAAAAAATTTGCCCCCAGAGAGATTTGAACTCTCGACCCCTGGTTTACAAGACCAGTGCTCTAACCCCTGAGCTATGGAGGCCGGCACGGTTAAGTGAGGAAAAAAAATGTGTTATAAGCTTGTATTACTCTTATGAACATTCACGAAATATTTTTAATCTTTTATTTTTATTGATTTGATTTCAAAATGAAGAATTATTAAAACATTGTAGCTCAAATACATCACACAGTAAATTTTTTTTTATAAAATCGACAAATTAACAAATAAAAATTATTTTTTGCGTTTAATAAGCAAATTGCTTTTATTAGTTTATTCAAATGTATCGATATACAATATAGATGGCTTAATTTTCGTATTTTGTTACTCAGAAAATTGGGAAAATTGACCTTTTTTTACTACAATAGATTCATTCTAACACTTCTAAATCATCATCATTTAATCAATTTATATTTAATCCACTTTAAAATGATTTATACGATAATATTATTCCTCAATTTTCGCGTCTTCTAATTAAATTATTCCTGTATGCTACCACATTTTAAAATTAGGTCATTGACATGTCTATTAAGCATTTTACTAGAAAATTCGATTTATACACATAGAACATACATTAAGAAAAAATATCAGATTGTTTATCCAAAGTAAAAAAAAATGTAACAATAACTTGAAAGGAACAAGCCTAAAAACTGTACATCGACTATATGGAAAAAAATTATCTGTTAAAAATAAATTTTTTATCAATGTTTAATTTACGAAGAAAAACTAGATTCAAAATTTACAAAAAAATCGATTCATTCATTCGAGAGATATTATTCACGAAACATTTTAAAAAATTAGGAAAACGGTTGACCCTGAAGGCCATCCCTGCAACTTTCCGCTAGTTCTATACCTAGAGTCTAATAGAAGTTGGATAAAACACTATTTTTTGAATTTTCAAACCACAATAACTTTTGAATAAATGAACCGATTTTCACGCGGTTGACGGCATTCAACACAGTTTTTAAGCCTCATAAAAAATGTTTTAGATCGATCGAACTAGCAATTTCAGAGTAATTCCGAAAAAACACTTTTTTCAGTTTTCTTTCGTTCACGATATCTCTCGAACGAATCAACCGATTTTAGCCAATATCAGTGCGCTAAGCTTGGTTGCCCAGTACTGGGCCAGGTAAGGCCCCGTCATTCAACTCTGGCAGTTTCTACATGGGGAGTTATTATTAGCGGGAAGTTGTAGGGATGGCCTTTAGGGTCAACCGTGTTCCTAATTTTTTTTTTGACATTCAGTTGTATCTAATAAATTTATAAATATGTATATTGTGTTCTTTAATTGAAAAAAAATTTTTTTTATTATAGTCCGATATTAATTAAAAATTTCCAATCGATTAGGTTTCATAGTAGTGGCAGCCTGTGTAATGACATTTGAGGCTCGTGATAGCGCAGCAAAAGTCGTACCAGCGCGTTACCGTTTCAATCAAAATTCATCATCATCAATAAAATATTCACGGAACCAGCGGCCCCGTCGGTCAACGTCATGCCAAACGACGCGGTGGGACCATCACATGGGTCTATTTCGGGAAAAACGTAGCCCAAGTCCAAGTGTTCACGATATAGCACGGAAACAATTGACTGCGGAGTTTCTTCGATTCTCGAAAAATCTCCATGACAAGGACAAGCCGAGTCATCCACTGAAAAAAAGCCCAAGTGCGCCGTCTTTGGTGATGAAGAAGTCCCCTTCTAAAAGGAAAGCCTCTAAGTTTTCTGGTTGTGCGCTTTTAAATCCAGAATTACTTCAAAGACACGCTTTGTCAGTCGACAATCCACACTACAGTCCTCCACGAGTCAGTCGAGAAAGCCTTGAGCACAATAAAATGAATGGCAGTCAAGTTTCAATGGCTATGGATCTTTATATTCCTAACAAAGGACCTGTTACGCTTAAAGTTAAAGACAGATCGGATACCGCGAGACGACATCAGCTGTTACGACAGACTAAAATTGAGGACCTTGATGAGGAAGAAGCTAGACGAATTCTCGCCAGAAGAAAACAACATTCTGGTAATTCTCTTTTTCTCTTATCCTACTCTAGTCTACTCACTCTTGTAAAAATCTAATTTTATTCAACATTGATTCTTCCCGAGATAGGAATTTTTTTGTGTTACATCGATTGAATTTATCAGCACCGTAATAACTTTAATGAAAAATCTTCATCTCATCTCTGTAAAGCCCTGCATATTGATGTTTTCATAAAACAATCTTGAATATTTCTCTTGCATAAATCTTTAGAGAATAATCATCCTGACGTAAACCGTCAGGAAATTATGTTAGCAGTGCACAATATCAACATATTAATATGTATTAGGGCTGTACAATTTAGCCGGTCAAACCGGCTAAATGGCTAATTGAATATTTTATCAATTATCTATATATAATATCTACATTTGAATATTGTAATGGTAAAATTTGATTAGAAATTAGTTTATCATATATTATTTAATATTAGCAACAAAAATGAACAATTTAATTAACCACATAATCTAGATATAACATTTTTTTAATCAATTATTACAATAATATCTCTGTTTTGATATAGAAAAATCAGTAAATTCGCGTTTTCTGGCGACAAACAGCGTCTTTTCGCAGAAATTACGTTGCCTGCAGTTGAAAAGATACGCTCCGAAGGAGTACTAGAAGAAGGAATACCCAAAAATCTTCTCGCGAAACTGGCTAAGATGGAAAATTTGTGCCTTTTTGAATTTCACCATAGTAGTGGATTGTCTGCCTTCGGAATGGTAGGCTCTCGATCAAATTTTTCTATCTCTTTCTCAATAGCAATTTCGCCTTCGAGACTTAACATTCTCTATAAATTTCCAGACAACCCTAGTACAAGATCAAAAAGGTATTCCAAGTCCTTTTCTTTCTGATTCTTACTAGAATCAGGTTCATTTACTGGTGGAACTTGCTCTGTCATTTCTCTCAATTTTTCTTTAATTTCATCTCGATACGTTTTATCTTCATCTGGCAAGTTTATGTATCTACAACATTAATAAAAATCAATAAAAAAAATCTATAAAACGGTTCAATTCGCAGGTCATGCCTAAAACTTCAAAAAATAATTACCGAGGATCTAAATACGATGACAATTTACAAGAAGTAACATCTGTATTACTCAAAAATCGAGTTCTCAATTCTTCCTCAAGAATGTCTCTAATAAGTATAATAAGATATTTTCATCATCATCATCGTTTCGCGGTAAAAATTTTTTAATTAATGAGTAGACAGTTGGTCGCACCATTGACAGAGTAGACTGGCTCTCACTAGACATTAATCTAGTAGCAACTTCGAATGGCTTTAAAATTTCGATGACTCCTTCCAAATAGGTCCAATCGGAGTTGCTTAAAAGTAATTTTTTCATCATTTCTGTGCTTGTCATCTTCCCATCTAACAATACAGAATTAATTCCCTTACGTTGTTCAATAACTCGTTCAATCATATCATAAACCGAGTTCTACCGAGTAGCGGAGTAGCGCAATGGCTTATCAATCGTGAGTCGGCAGATGAGATACTCTTTTTGAGCATTTTCTAATGCTGTGCTGGCTTTATTGGAGTGTTTGAAGTGACCAACTATGGCTGATACTTTCTGCAGACAATCTTTTAAATTACGTTCTTTCAAGGCTCTTTCCACAACACATTGTAAAGAATGGCAAAAACAGTGGACACTCATCGCGATATCATCATCAGCTTCCCAATTGTCTCGTATAGCAGCTACAATTCGTAAAGATTCCAGTCAGTCAATGCATTAACCAGGTGGTTATACGTATTTATGGCATTATGACTTTCAGCCATTTCCAATGTGTCTAGTGTAAAAAAACGCAAATTCCCAAAAGGATAACTTATATTTCACTTAAAAATGTTTTTTTCTTGAATTAAAACAATGGTACCATAGTTTCACGATATTACTGACTTGTTTCAAGAATACCAGAAATGCTCCAATTTCTTTGATTTTCTATGCATTTAAAAATAAGTCTCAAATTCGTTTCAAAAATTTTCGAATCAAATAAAGTTTTTTTCAAAGTAATTTTTTTAGATCGAGAATATTTTTCTGATGTAAATTAGTTTTTTTTTTTAGTGTACGGTAAAGTTTAATATAACTTTGAGTCACCGATGATCAAGTTACTGAAAAAATGTTAATAATTCGAAAGATAACAAATAATTAATTTAGATAAAAAATATTTCTATTATACGTAAGATACGAGAATTTTACTTTATAAATATCTTACAAACAAATCATGTTTTGATGAAATCGGTAGAGGAAATGAATGGAATAAATTTTTTTTTCCTTAATACAAGAACTGAAATTAATAAATTCTTGCATGCATGAACAATTTATAAAGGAAAAACAACAAAGAGTGCTTTTTGCCATACGATCAAACGTTATTAGTAAATTTTTAAAGTAATACTTGTCTTGATTTATCTTTGTTTTCAAGTGCTGATAGTGACAGCATCAACCATTGATAATTCGAATTACATATTATTTAAATAATTAATAGCGGAAGTATTAATAACTGAGTAAAATAAACCACAATTACTAGTCTATTTATTCAGATAGTTGAATACCAATTCACAGTAACTTCAAAGTATAACTATCACAACAATTATTAATCATCGTTTACAATTCAATTCAAAAAATGACAATTTTATTCTTATATATATTTTGAACGTGTAAAACTTTTAATTTATCTCTTATTGATTCTTGATCAGAATTTTCACCATTGAAAAAAAATAAAAAAAAGTCTTACAATCACTTGCACTTAAAGCTAGAATTTATAAGCTAGAAAAATTAATATGTAGATTAAAAAAGCTGTACAGACTGCTACCTTTTTCCAAGGTATCTCAGAAGGATATGTGTGCTAAGTAATGTCATTTTATACTTATATAAATAGCAGCTTTCTTATGAATTTATAAAGATTAATGATTGTAAAATTAATATAGATATTATCAAAGACGAGTTAAATAATTGTTTTTTAATGTAAATTATAATTCATGTAGATGAGAAATGAATTTTCTACTATAGTTATGTTCAAATTTAAAAAATTTTTAATAGTTTGATATGCCCGTACATTAGTATTTCAAGATGGAAGAAGTTGGTAGTAGTATTACAATTTTAATTTACACATGTCTACATAAATCTAAATAAACTAACCAATTAGTTTAAATTTTAAAAGATCTGTTATACCGTAAAAAATATTTATGACGTCTTATACAATTCTAAAATAGAAATTTTAAATATGAAATTTAAAATCCAGTATTAGATTAGTTTCTTTTTGTGAATTAATGTTCTATAATAGATTTTTTACTTACAAAAGAAATTTACGGCGCAAATAAATATTTAATATCGTGAAAATGTAGAGGATTTATTTATTACTACCCTTATTGTGAGATGAAGAATAATTGACAAATTTGTACTAAAAAGAATGTTAAAAATTAAAAAATTTTGAGTGATAAAAAATACATTTTTGAAGTACACATAAAATAAATCCTAAATAAATGAATAGAATAAATAACTACTCTAGTTATTGTGCTATATATAAAACATTCATTTATACAGAATCTACACAAACTTCAAATGACGTATATTTGTTTAGAGCATGACGAAAATTATAATTGGAATTTGTAATGCAAGAGTGAAGTTGATATTGACAGTAATGTATACAAACTAGACATTAGTTATTAAACTAATGTAAACTGAGTAGTATAATATAATGAACATTGCAGACTCAATAGCTTACCCGCTGGGTGCATGCACGAAACTTCCCGTGGACTTGGTTATGGCACGTAAAAGAGCATCCATTGACGTGCGATTAACCGATGAGGATGGGACCACTGGATTACTCACCCGTGGAAACACTTCGCCCCGGGACTTTCGAAAGTCACCCTCCTCTAATTTTCGCAACATGTCCTTTGATAGGATAAGTGCCTCCGAGCGGCGACCAGATCGGTCGGGACGAAAATCCAGTCTTGATTTCCGGAAGAGTCCCGACTTTCGGAGATTTGATATTAGGTATGTTCGATAATGGATCATTTTTTATCAAATTAGTACAATTTTGGATGTGAATAATTTTGATTTTTATGAAATTTTTCATTTTTTTTTTGGAATTAATAAATTTTTTTTTTTATATTACAGACGATTTATAGATGAACTTGATCAACGATCGGAATTAAGTACAACAGAGAGTATTCACCAGCGACAAAAATTGTATCATTCGAGGTCTGACGACAACAGACGCACTTCATTCGATCGAAATCGTCGCGATTCCCAAGTAAGCCGACATTCATTGAATGTACCTGTTGTCGTCGAAGGATGTAGTCCTGAATACGAGCTCAAGTATCATGATACAAGTTCAGTGGAGAAAGATAAAATACGTTCAACTTTTTCCGACGACAGTCGCAGTACAGACACTAAAGAAAATCAAGTAAGTGTCACCGTTTCTATCGAGGAGTATCCTGTTGACGTTGATATGCCATTTACCCTTGTCGAGGAACCAGAGTTAGAAAATAATGCAACCAACAATGATAACGATAATAATAATAAACCGTCGAGTATTATCAATGAAAACGATGATTCCATCAAATTCATTGACAGAAGTTGTGAGGATGACAATGAAATTGTTCTTGACGTCGAAGAGTGAAAACGTTATTGATAAATTTTTTATAAAAACGAATAACAAAAAAAATGTTATGTATGTACGTTCAATAAAGTACTCTAATAATTTTTTAGATTATTAAAATTAAATTAAAGTTAATATTTGATATAAAAAGAACGTTACCAGTAAGCTTGTACGAAGCTGAAGAATTTTAAACAAAAATAAATATCAGTTATTATTTTATAATAATTATACTGATTAAATTGTCAATTTGAACATGAATTGTTGATTAAAAATAAATATTGTTGATAATGTGTAAGTTTAAGCAAAGCCACTTACATGTAAATGTCTTCACTTCTCAATGCCTTCTAATCAAATGTAACAATATCATTTTATAAAAGTTGCTATATATTGTAAGACTTTCCTGAATTGCGGTTTAGTAATAAGACAATCACTAACCATCATTTTTTCAATTTTATTTAAAGGGGCTGCGAACTCGAGGCGAAATAATTTACATAAATCATTCTTGCACGGAAAAAAATAATCGGTACGTCTACCGATTTTTACGATGGAAATTACCAGTAAGATCCGTTGACTCTATTGGAAATATCAGTTTTAATAATGAAAAAATACAGATTCGACATCAATTAAAAATAAGCTCATAATACTAAAATAAAAATTTTGCCTCTTTAAAAAATTAAAAATGATATTTGGTAAGTTTAGATCAAATTTTAAATAACTTGCCCACAGGTATAATATTAATATAAACTGAAAAAAAACTTCAACTTGAATCAAGAGAAAAATTCTTGAACCAAGAAAATAATTTCGAAGAGTTTCATTGCCTTGAATCAAAACGACAAGTTCTTCGATCAAGTAAAATTCACTTGATCCAAAAGAATTTCTTAGTTTAAAAATTTTCTCACTTAAATCAGGAGATAAAGTTCTTCAAAATTTTTTTTTTCATTCAAGTCAAATTTTTATTAGAGTGTAAGAGAGAGAGAGAGAGAGAGAGTCGGTGAAACTGGGTATTCAAAACATATTGTAAAAAAATTCTTTTTCTTCCAAAAGCTCTTAAAATGTTTAAATTCATCGTTTAATGTTATTTTCCGTGACTTAAGAAGAAAAAAAATCTGAGTTCTGAAACTGTCATTCAATTTTTGATGTAACTATTGTTTACTAAGATACTAGAATTGAAAAATAAAAGAGTATTATTTAATTTAAAGCCGGACATTTTTTGCGAGAAATTGATGTATAGAAACGTCAGAAAAATGAAGTTGAAGCTCAATAAAAGGCTATAAGGTGGACGGGATGGTTTAGCTGAAAAACATTTTCATAAGCGCATAGACAAAAAAAATGCAAAAATTTACACATTTTTTTTCGTGCTATTCCTAAAATTTGCATGAGAACTATAACTCTAAAAAATTTCGAACGAAAGGAAGATCCCATAATTAAAATCTTAAACAAAAAAAACTCTTCTTGTATTTATAATTGATGTGGAACCTGTACTTCTTCATTATTGAAATCGATATTTTCGGTAAAGTCAACGGATTATACCAGTAACTTTCACAGAAAAAATCAGTATAACCTCAACCAAAATATAATCTGTAACCTTCACCGAAAAAATCGGTAGCTGCTACGCTACCAAAACATAATCGGTTGCGTCAACTGATTGCCAATCGGTAGACGCTACCGATTTTTTTTTTCGTGTATGTAAACTAAAAAACTTGAATTGAAATTACAAGTATTATAAAAATATAGTAGCAGAATTTTAGAATTGAAAAACTAAAAATGAACACTGTATGATTCTTTCCATAAAACGTTTTTAGCTAGTATTAATATTTTTTTTTAATTTGCCAAAAAATGTATTGAGTAGAAATCGTTTCAAGTTTTAAGGAATAATAATAGAAATAAAAATTATTGGTGACATAAAACCATAAGTCTGATAAAAACTATTATGTTCTAGTGAATTGTACAAATTACTTTATTGCAAGTAATTCTAGCCTATTTGTGAAAATAGAATATGGGTAATACACAAATTTGGTGAATAAATTTTGTATACAAATATTTAACGATTAAAATTTAATACCTACGATATTTATTGCTGTATTTATGCTGATGTATGCAAAATATATATTCATCTGTTAAAACAATGAATGACATACAATCACGTGCATTAATTCGGGTAGGTTTTTATGTTTACAGTTTTTTCGTCACTTCTAAATTTGGCCGTTTCTAAACTAAACTCTAATCTTTGAAATCTGTAAATTTAGCCGTTTGTAAATTTAGCGAAACGTAAAAAACGATATCACTAAAATGAGAAAAATATAAATAATTTCAAAAATAATTTATGCTTATAATAAAATATGACAAAAGAAAAAACGTCCATGTAAAAAAAAGAAAATTCCTAAATAATGCCGTTTGTGAAATGAGCGAGTTAAAAACTTGGAATTATTAAAATATCGCTAGCTTTAAAACAGTCGAATTAAAAACAAAGAACTATTAAAATTATTACAAATTAAAATGTAAACAGTTGAAAAAAAGAAACATTTAAAAAAATGAAATTAAATAATTGGAGAATAATAAATTTAGCCGATTAAAAACTTCGCCACGTGAATTTAGCCGATTCTAAACTTGGAAATTAATAAAATTAGCCATTTGTAAACCTCAGGATGCTAAAAACTAGCCGTTTTTAAACCTTGCAATCATAGAAGTTATATTAACGCCTGTTTAATTTTTAATAATAATAATAAATTTAGCCGATTAAAAACTTCGCCACGTGAATTTAGCCGATTCTAAACTTGGAAATTAATAAAATTAGCCATTTGTAAACCTCAGGATGCTAAAAACTAGCCGTTTTTAAACCTTGCAATCATAGAAGTTATATTAACGCCTGTTTAATTTTTAATAATAATAAATAATAATAGGCTTATTACGTGGTGAAGTTTTTAATCGGCTAAATTTATTATTCTCCAATTATTTAATTTCATTTTTTTAAGTGTTTCTTTTTTTCAACTGTTTACATTTTAATTTGTAATAATTTTAATAGTTCTTTGTTTTTAATTCGACTGTTTTAAAGCTAGCGATATTTTAATAATTCCAAGTTTTTAACTCGCTTATTTCACAAACGGTATTATTTAGGAATTTTCTTTTTTTTTTACATGGACGTTTTTTCTTTTGTCATATTTTATTATAAGCATAAATTATTTTTGAAATTATTTATATTTTTCTCATTTTAGTGATATCGTTTTTTACGTTTCGCTAAATTTACAAACGGCTAAATTTACAGATTTCAAAGATTAGAGTTTAGAAAGGGCCAAATTTAGAAGTGACGAAAAAACTGTAAACATAAAAACCTACCCGAATTAATGCACGCGATTGTATCTATGCTACATCAATTTCTTTCGTATTTACGCATCAATTCACTACTAAAAAATTAATTTTTTTTTTTAATGTAAATCAACACTATTATATTTTTATATATTTTGTTTTAAGCTCTTGAAACAGTTATTGAACAGATTTGAAGAAAACTTTAAGTTATAGATTGGGTATGTAGAACGTTTCTTTCAAATTAAAAATATTTTTATCTCACATTATAAAATTTTAAAATTTTAATAAGTAAAAAAATTCAAACCTTACATTAAAGTACAAATATAATTTAATATTGATCAATATTTCAATTTTAGAATTATGATAATTTTAAAAAATAACTCTAAATATTTTCAGAGAGACTTTTTTAATAGAATTCATTTTCTACAAAAGAATTGATTTGGCAAAAGAAATTTCACAAACTAGCCGCTCTCTTGGATGTACAAAGATTATTTATGTTGTAAGTTAAAAAAAAAATTATCCATAGATTTAAAAGCGATGCTCAATGAATTATACGATACGCTGACAATACATTTATTACTTCAAGTTACCGTATTATGTTTTATAAAATCTAATTGTTAAGAGTAATTGAGTAAAGTAGCTGAACGAAGTATATATTATTTTTCATTTTTAATTATAAGCATTATTTTTTCAAAGGAAAACATCGCTTATCAAATCATTATCCATAACTACGAATTAAACGTTACCTTGACATTTTTTATGGATTCGAGGCCTATAGTATGAAAAAAAAAAAAATGTTTATACATTTTATAATTAAAAACAAACAAACTTTTTATAGCGAGCATCGATGAATTTTTTTTTTCTATAAATTTTAGCACTCATATCGAGTTTTCAGGGTATTTTTAATTAGTAACTTTTAGTTACTTGTTTTTTTTTTTTTTAGTTTTATCAAATTCATACTCTGTAAACATGTTGATCTCGTGGCCTCTATTGTCTAATAAATAACTTATCTTATTGATAAATAAATAAATAAAATAACAGCACCGTCACTCAGACGAATGATAACATTTAATGTAAAATGTCGCGGTGATTAATAATCTATTGATGTAAATATATTTTTATACCCTCCGTAAAAGCAAAAAGTAATAAAACTTATTACATAACGTTGACAAAATATCTACCTTTAAAAATAGAATCACTATATTATATCGGTAAATTCATATCAGAGCCTAGTAAAAATAAAAAATAAAAATCTTCACATGACTTACTGGGTTAAGAATAAATATAAAAATAAATGGAGATAATTACTCTATAAATATACTTCTAGTCTTTTTCATGACAAATTGTTGACTTCTCTGTAATTGTGATGGTAATTTTAATGTAATATGACTTTTGAATTTGTACTGTACTGTTGTATATATAAATTTATATGACGAGAAAAAATAATTATTATTATTGTGTGTTCACGGCAATAAAAGATATATGTGATTTAAGCTGTTGATATTGATTAATAAAATAGATATTGTCAGTAACTTAGTTTGTTGACGAGTAATAAAAATTAGGCTCATTAAAAAAATTTAAGAGAGATCCGGGTAAAAAGAATCGTTCAATATTTTATTGGCTTATTCGGAAGTTAATGAAACTTTTATTAGATTTGAACAGATATGCTATAAGTTCTTGTCAATTATTCGGTTGATTAAAAATAAAAATAAAAATATGAGAAGAGTCGACTAAGCTGAAGGTATAAAAAAAAATTTTATTGGATTCAGGAAAAATATTTATTAAAAACTATAATTTCAACTTTAGTCAATGATCTTATTCCTTATTTTCTGTTTTGTAAGCGATATAAGAAATTTCACCCTGATATTTTATCAACAAAATTGTACTGTTCAAATTTTTAACTCAACTCGAGGTTTACCTCCACGGAATGAATATATATGAAAACATTGTACAAAAGATTTATGTGTCACATATACCTAATATATATTTTTTCGCCAAAAAAGTATATAAACAATTTCTTATATGCTGGCTCATATTTTATCATATAGGCTATATCCAACATACATATATTAGAACATATAGGCAAGCATAAAAAAAATTGTTCATATACGTTTTGGGCGTAAAAAAATTCATATTAGATATAAATGACATATTTTTTAATCTTTGCTTATATGTCTTCACTTATACTTTTTCTGTGGCGGTATTTTGCCCAGATCTCTCTTAATGTTAAAAAAAATTCATGTCATTAAAGAATCAGCAATAATTAATAAGGAATTTTTTTTAACCAACGTATTGTAAAATAGTATTGCTAAATGTTTAGTATGTAATTATTATAATAAAAAAAATTACCTAATTGATATAAAGTATTATAAAAAATCTAAAGGTAATAACTGCAGAATTATTGGATAATGTAATAATCTAAGCAACAAAAAAACATAAATAAACTGTGATGTATCATGTTCGCAATGGCTATTTAATTCGAAAACATTTATTTATTTAAAATGAACTTTATTTCGATTTTTTTTTCTTTTCAAATTGAAAAAATTGATCTAGCCATTTTTTTATTTACGCAAATAAAATCATCGACAACAGTCAATATCAACTGATGAACTAAGTTTAATTGTATTTAATTGAAAAAAATAAATTAATAGCTGTAATAAAAAACGAAATTTTAGTATGTAATTCTATAGTTTGTTGTGAAATTCCTAAAAATTGTAATTATAAAAAACTGTATACAAATTAGCTCATCGTTAACATATCATATGACTTATGAATAAAAATATTTAATATTGAATGAGTTCTTCGAGTAATTAATAAAATAAAAATAATTTGCGAAAAAAAAAAATTATAACACATTTTTACTCAGTGGATAAAGAAGAAGTTACGCAGACGCGATCGCAACCGGTCGCACAACAGGTGCACGTCTCACAGGTGAGAGACGGGGAAATTATTGTAAAAAAAGGTAAGTAAAATAAAATAACATGAAACAAAACAAATGGAGAGAGGGAGGTAACCAAGGTGAGTGGTGGATTGAAGGGAACGTCGGTTTGCTCCATGATTCAGTTGCCTTTGCCTTTAGTCCAACGCCGGTTGCTAAATCATTAACTTCAACTCTTTGTGCTCTTAACGAGACTCTTCTAGTCAACAGTTTTTCCGTTACTTTTTTTCTTTTTCTTTTATAAATTTTAATAAACCAAAAGTGCTTCCGGAAACTCGAAAACTCACTGCAATTTTTCCGAAGTTTTCTTTATTATTATTCGCGGCTAATGTGAGTAAATATTTGTTAGAAAGTGAAAGAGGATGTCCTCTGAACGATTTCATAAGTACGTTTTTTAAAAATATTTTTTTGCTGTTTACTTTTAATTTAAAGAATTATTTTGTTATTGAACTCAGTAAAAAAGATGAAAAAAAAATTATTTAATTAGTAATAAAAGGACAATTTAATTACAGAAGATACTCAAGAATTTCCTAGGAATTAAGCAAAAAAAAAAAAATTATCATTTTTTAACAATTATTGTCAGTTATCAGAAGTATTATCTAGTGATTAATCAACAACACTCGATATAGAAAAGATAAAAAATTTTACCTTGTTAATTTCATCATATTTAATTTCTATTTATTTATTTATCAAGCTAAAACAAATGACACAGGTTTCCTTGTTTGAAAATTTGAAAAGAGAAAATAGTTATAAATAAAAAGTGTCGAAGTGACAAGTAGATATCGTAAATATATATTACTATTATTATTATGATACAATAAAACTAAAAAAAGAAACTCATCGTTCAGCTAAGCATACTGCAGAAATAATAAAAAGAAGCATCAATGACTGATGATATGACTAGGACGAGAAAATTGTCATGTAGTTCGTTGCACTTGTAATTTTTCTAGTCTTAATTAAGATTTTTATCTCAGTTCAGCTTACGTGCGGACAATTTTATATAAGGTTTCATTTTACAGGAATCGACATCGCGAAAAAAGTAATATTATTAATTAACAGAGCAAAAAATTTGTTTGTATTATTTTACTTTTTTTTATTTTTCGTTATGGAAATAGTTTAGTTAAATTGAGCTAATAATTAATAGTTTAAAAATAAACAAGCTTGTATTTATACGAATAATTTTTCTTAAACAGAGCAGCTCGTGATGGAGCTCTCGAGATCCTCAAAGAAGCTACGCGAAAGGATTGCAATACGCGAGATGAAGGAGGAATGACCCCTACACTGTGGGCAGCTTTTGAAGGTCACGTGGAAGCATTGAGACTGCTTGTCGCCAGGGGGTACGTCTATTGTCTTTTATTCTCCAAATAAAACCATTTTCATTATTATCGAGAGTGAGATGATGATGATGACGATGATAAACATCCTTATGACTTATGAGTCTTATGACTAATAAATGGAAATTTTACTGACTGTGAGAAAAGAGTGAAAATATTGAAAGAAATCAAATTGTGTTTGTTTTATATTTTTCTAGGAGACGATAAAATATCATCATTATTAAATAAGTGCAAACAAATAGAACAATAAATCAGTTACTTTTTGCTAGTCCATATGATTTTCACGTTTAGAAAGTTTTATCTTTACTTGTGTATTATCATGCTCAATAACATAAAGTTATAGTAATAATTTAACAAGGATAAACAAAGATGACATCTATTAGATTCTAGGTTATTTATTATTATCATATATCATATCATATTATCAATTGTCGTTATTTATTAATCAAGTAGTTTTCCGACGTTTACGCGTAGTTGATAACAATAAATAAATATCATTCAACTGAGAGTCACTTTGAAACGTCATATCGATCATCAAAACTTGAAATTTGTTTCAATTATTAAATTTATAAATTTTTTTTTTCATCCAACTTTGATAATAATTGGAATTGTTTGATCGAAGTTATTTTTATCTTTTAAAAAAAAGATTATAATAAGGCATTATATTACTTTTTTAAAATTATATATTTGACCGGAAATAATTTTCGTTAAAAATGTGTGCGTAATACTTGAAATGTCTTTATTTGTAAAACCCATATAGTATCCAAATGTCGAAGGATACTTTTTTAGGCTTAAATAGGGTTGTCCGAGCAGTTAAATCAATAAAATGTATTAAATATAAATACTAGGGTTTATAAACCGTCGGCTTCAGAGATAAATTTAACGTATAGTAGTTATAGTAAATTAAAATATTTTATTCTTGTTTTAAATGAAACTTGATGTTAATTATGAAAAATGGTTGCATGAAAACTTTAAAGTGCTGTAGGTTGAAATAAAATTAATTTATTGCTGTATTTCTTTTTATTTATTACTTGGAAATTATTTTTCATTTTTGTATATAATGCAGTTAATAAAGAAGAATTTATTGTTGTATTAAATTTGGTAATGATATTATATCTCTTGAATATTTTAAATGATACTTGATTTATCTTTAATTATGAGAGCATAGAGTTACATTAAAGCGCAATTTTTTGGACGTGAAAAATTGATTGATTACTGTGAAATTTGATAATATTGATAATGATTTTAATCATTTTTAAAACCATTAAACTTTTATTTAAAATAAAAAGTAGAATCGTATAATTTCATAATTGCTCCACATTACAAATACTCCAAAAATTTTGTCTTTAATTAGTCTGTTATTGTTGTATTACTTTATCTAAAAATTTTCTTACTTTCTTACGCATAATCAGATACGATATGAATGAGTCAATTGAATTAAAAATAATAATAACAATGAATGAAAAACATTCGCAATCACTTACATTGTCTCTATATAATGATTTTATCTTAGATCATTTTTCGCTCATACAATTGATATTAATTCAATAGTTCCTTTCATCAAATCATCCCACGTGATTTAATAACGCAATCATTTCATTCAAAAAATAGCTCATTAAAAAATGTACATAATATTTTTACTCAAAAATAATACGATTAAAATATTACAGTAAACTTTTTGAAAGTTAGAAAAAATTTTAACATATCTTTCAATCTTGTAAGCTCTTACGAAACTTATATCAATTAAAATAAAAAATTTTTACCAATTGAAATCACTTGTAGACTGAAAAAAAAATTAACTTAACCGAAGAGAAAAATTTTTCAATTCAAGAATTTGTCTACTCGAGAACGGGTCTAATTTTTTTCTGTTCATGCATTAAGAGAAATCGTACTATCTTTGTCGCACTAGCAACAGCAAAGCTATTGCAGATTCATCATTTTCTCTTAAACAAATGAAAATTTCGAAAAAAACACTGCTAAAAAATAGATAATTAAATAATCTATCGATTAGAAGATCGTTTTTTCTAAAATTTGTCTCTATTGAGGAAAAATTCATGAACCTATTATAGCTGGGCTCGAATATTTTTTTTCTTAGATAAAGTTAATTTTTATTCCAGTGTAATTAAACTATAAATCTAGCAAACAATTCGAAACTTTTCCAAGTGTTAAATTTAAAAATATAAAAAAATAAGTCAACTCATGATTCATGAAAAATATGATGAAACACGTAAATTTAAATTTATATATTTTTTTGTAATTCTAAGTTCCGTTCTCCAATAACAATTATGAATAATGTAACGTAATAATGAACATAACAAGTGTTCGATGCACCGAACAGCCGGATAAACCACACGACAGGTGGTCCGAAAGAGCCGGAAATGTGCGGTGGTGGTAAAGAGTGTAGCCATGTAGACAATAATTCCCCGCGCAAAAAAATATGTATGTCTATATACAGATATATATATATATATATATATATATATATATGGATGAAGATAAATATACTCACCCGCACGTGTTTTCCTGATACAAATTGTATATAAATATATATTATATATATTTTATATATATGGTAAGAGGCATGCGTAGACGCCGGTTTACATACGTATGTTTATATGAATGTATATATACGTATGAATGTATTGCGTGGATTGTTATGTACGTAAAGACAATCGGGTGTAGTGAGTGTGAAACAAAACCAAAGTAGAGTACAGTAGACCAGATAAGAGTAGAGCAAACCAGAGCGCACCAAACGAAACGGAACGTACCGGAATGGGAAGTTAAGAGATGTAATGCTTTTTAGCTACTGTTATTAAAGAGCCCCTATTACCTCTACTCTGTTACATATATTATAAATATGCATGTTTATATGTTCACTTAACGCGTTATGTTATGGCACACTCAAGCGCCACAAGCCACAAGAGAAAATAATGTTATCTAAGGCTTTCTATCTTTATATGTATTGTTGAAATCGTGATATTAGAATCCCAGATATTTAGGTCAATAACTTTGTTCAATATTTTCTATACCTGCGATTTTGTTTTAATTATGCAACTACTGTTAAAATATTATTCATAATGGTATTATCTCTTAATTGTTTGTGTCTAAAGCATTAGGTCTGAAGCTCATTTTCATCAACAACGCATTATATTTAAAATTATACCATAAAAATATTTGAATAACATTAGGCGCAATAAGATATTAGTTTTTACAGCACAAACCTAATTATATATTTTTTTTTGTGTTTTCTTTTTTATGTAATTCAGCAAATATTTTTTCTTTAAATACATCTTAAATATTCAAATAATTTTTTTCCACCAAAATATATTTATTTTAAAGAAGATAATTATGTCAGGCCTACTATTTATAACAATGTGTACTTGCAAGTATCAAATTTGTCAGTTAATTTTTTAACTGTCCAATAAATATGATACTAAAGTTGGCAAACAATTGTCAATTTTTTTAATTTTTATAACAAATTAATTACAATAAAAAAATGCTTCAAAAAATTTCCACTCATAATTTTTTTTAATGTTCACAAGTGGAATTTTTTTAATCATAATTTAATTGTTATAAAATTCTAAAAAAATTTCTAATGTCAGTTAACTTCATTGGCTTCAATAAATAATTTTTTTTTAATTCATAGATGCATATTTTCATGACAATAAAATCAGCAAACACTTGACCATTTTTTAGTTTCATTTAACAAATAAAATAACTCATAAAAAGTAAGGTAAAAGCTCCAATAGATGATCATGTACCACATTTGTGGATATAGATGTACAAATACATGGAGTGATCATATATACTGGTTAGGGTGCTTCATTTTTAGGCGATATTTTTTTTTTTCTCTGTGCTACCTGAAAATCTGATACTTTATAAAAAATAAAAAATTATGCCGCCGAGTAAAAGGCTTTAAGTGCAATAGCGGCTTAGCTCATTTAAAAATTCAATTTCCTATTTAAATAACATAGAAAAAATTTTTTTTCCGGTTTCAACTTGATTTTTCGACGTGAAAAAAATTTTTTTGGAAAAAACGCATGTATAGCTTTTGTAGAGCATAAAATTTGCTACAAAAAGTTCCTCTGTGTAAATCCCCCCCGACCAACAGCTTTTGAGTTATACAGTTGCGAAGATGAATGTTTATTATATTTCACAACAAATCATTTCTAAATCAAGATTTATTATTAAAGTGTGCGCACTCAGGTCAGCGATTTTGATGCCGATTTTTTCCTCAAAAGTACACCTTAACAGAAGACGATCCTGAAAATTTGGACCCGATATAATCAAATTCGACCGCTGGAGAATTTTTTGAATTTTTAAAAAAGTTGATTTTTCACTGATTTTTGAATAATTGTAATATAAGAACGATAGCGCTTTTGAGGGTAAATGTCTACTTGAGACGCTACTCAAATCATTACTGACAGTAGTTATATCTATGTACTGAGTATATTAATATTTCACTTGTCAATAAGATATGAATAATTCGATAGATATGCAAGAAATTATTAGCAAATATTATATTCAACAACGCAATTTTGGCAATATTAAAAAATTCATAACTTGAATACAAGCTCGATTCCCTAGCCCAAATTTTCAGGGCTTTTTAGGAATATAATAAAGCAACTTTCCTGAAAGTTTGAAGGAAATCGAAGTTCCGAGAAAAAAGTTCTAGCCATCTGTAAACTGCGATTTTTTAAAATTTGATTGGTTTCAGATGGCTATAACTTTACTTAATAGAAGCAATCAATAAAAAATTGCATAGATTCTACAAAAGTATACCCCAATAGAAGACATTAGCTGCTGGTCGATTCTCAACTTCAAACACTGTACATATACTAGTGTTTTACAAATGGGTAGAATTTAGTCAAAACAGTTCGTTAGTTAGAGGCTGTCAGCTAAGGCCTATGTGAGTTTAGACCAAATACTTATTTTTCTCTTAAAAGTAGAGAGTCTACTGAAAAAAATGCCGCTGGGCAGAAGTCTTTAAATTATATAGATGCTGAGATACAAATATTCAAAAATCAGTGAAAAATCGACTTTTTTAAAAATTCAAAAAATTCTCTAGCGGCTGAATTTGATTATATCGGGTCCAAATTTTCAGGATCGTCTTCTTTCAAGGTGTACTTTTGAGGAAAAAATCGGCATCAAAATCGCTGACCTAATTGCGCACACTGTAATAATAAATCTTGATTTAGAAATGATTTAATGTGAAATATAATAAACATTCATCTTCGCAACTGTATAACTCAAAAGCTGTTGGTCGGGGGGGATTTACACAGAGGAACTTTTTGTAGCAAATTTTATGCTCTACAAAAGCTATGCACGCGTTTTTTCCAAAAAAATTTTTTTCACGTCGAAAAATCAAGTTGAAACCGGAAAAAAAATTTTTTCTATGTTATTTAAATAGGAAATTGAATTTTTAAATGAGCTAAGCCGCTATTGCACTTAAAGCCTTTTACTCGGCGGCATAATTTTTTATTTTTTATAAAGTATCAGATTTTCAGGTAGCACAGAGAAAAAAAAAATATCGCCTAAAAATGAAGCACCCTAATACTGGTACATAATCATCTATTGGGGCTTTTACCTTATTATTGTAGTTTTTTACAATTTCTCGACATGGAATTTTCTTTGTCATAAATTATTTGATAAAAAAAGCTTAAAAATTATCAGATGTCTTTTAATTTCAATATCACATATAATCAATCATATTAAATAAAATAAATTTAGTTAATAAAAGTAAAAAAATCGAAATCAACGTCGAAAAACTTACATACCGTTCATCCTAATACCAACAGCATTTTGGCGGGCAAATGACTCACTCAGTCACAATTCATTCTCCTGTTGAAAAAAATAACATGATATATCATACTAGGTGCTTAAAATAAAACATATACCCATGATATAACATACCCAACAATAATTAGTTTCATTAATTAACATTTTTTAAATACTATGTTAATTAAAACATTGACTCAAGACACGCGTTCTCAGCCGGCTAACATAATAATTTTTACATCCAGATTTTGATACTGTTTAAAGATCTACTCATTTAAATGAATAATTTTCTTACTTAAGTAGGGTGTAAAAATTACTCAGACATACTTTTTATAATTAATCAAGTCGATCTTTTGGTCTAAAATAAATAAAAACTGTTGAAGAAAGTTCTCGTGACGCCTTTCTTTCTTGGAGTCTAGCAATCGCCATATTGAATTATGCTGCGTGCGCATGTCAGTAAACAAGAATCAACTTGCATTTTTTTAATTCAAGTTATCCCACAATAAAAAATTCATAATTGAATTGAAATTAATTTGTCCTGAAAATATTAAAGTATAAAAAAATACGGTTCGTAATTCTTTGTTGAATAAAATTAAAGTGCGTGCACAGCGCACAATTTAAATTTCTAATTAACACATAGAACACAATAATGTTATCAGTAAAATGAGTAATATTGTTTTTTTTTTTAATAACGAACAATTCAAACTACACTTAAAGTAAAATAAATGTTTTTTATTAAATTTAAAAACGAACTTAAAAATTATAAATTTTCATGAAAATGAAGTTAGCCGACATTTAAAAATTTTTAGAAATTTTTTATTAAAAAAATTTCAATTAAACAATTAAAAAATAAATTTCACATGTAAAAAACTTGAAAAACTATAAGTGCAATTTTTTATAAATATCTTTTTAGTTGTAATTTAATTAATAAAAAAAATTAAAAAATTTTCCGACGTCTGCTACCTTTAATATTATAAATTTTCTTTATATTCTAGTTTTTCAATTCAATTCAATTCAATACACACAACGAAATATAAAATTACAACTAAAAAGATATTTTTAAAAAATTGCACTTATAGTTTTTCAAGTTTTTATCAAGTGATATTTTTTTTTTAATTGTTTAATTGAAATTTTTTGGATAAAAAAATTTCTAAAAATTTTGAAATGTCAGCTAACTTTATTTTCATAATTTTTTTATACTTCAATCAGCCGTTAATAAATTTTTATAATATAATACTAAATTATGAAACAGAAGTTAGCTGACAACTGTCTTTTATAATAAATCAATTACAATGATAAATAAAAATGCTTTTAAAAATTTCCTCTTATAATTTTATTTGATTATTACATGTGGGATTTTTTTATTAAATTTTATTCATTAAAATTTCATTGCTATAAAATCAAAAAAAATTTTCTAATGTCTGTCAACTTCAGTGCCATCACTGTATTTTACGGACACCTAAAAATTTATTAACTTTTTATAACAATTAAATTGTGATAAAAAAATTTCGCATGTCGAACTTAAAAAAAAAATTTATTTCATAATAATTGATGCGTAATAAAAATTTTAAGATTTCTTAAATGTCTGTTAATTTAAGTATCATTTTATAATTGATAAGTTTTAATAATTATCAATACTTACTTGATAACTATATTAATAATTATTCCAGAGGTGATCCAGACAAAACAGATTATTTTGGTAACACAGCGCTTCATTTAGCAGCCGCACGTGGTCACGAATTCTGCGTAAAGTTTCTTGTTAAATTTGGCTGCAACATTTGGTCTCTGGACATTGATCGACATTCTGCCCGTGAATTAGCAGCTATAAATGGTCGGGAAGAAATCCTCCAATTTCTCGACCTCGCTCAAGCGGAACAAGAAGCTATTAATCGTAAAAAAAGTAAACTGTTACGAGAAAAAGCGGAAAAGGATGCGGAAAAAAGGTCATAATTATATTTATTATTATTATTAAAAAAAAAAAAAAAAAAAAAAAAAAAAAAAAAAAAACAACTATCTAATAATTATAATTTAATAAGTGACTAATTATATGTACATTTTCTTTTTTGTAGGTTGAAAGAGTACGTCAAGCGTCAAAAGATAGCTGACATAAAAGCAGAAAAAGAACAGAAAAAACTATTAAAAGATCGTGCTAAAATGGATATCATGGATACAATAAATCAAGAAAGCGTGTTACCTCATAGGCCTAGTATATTAACATTCAAAGGCCGTATGAAGCCATCGCAAACATTTAGCGACATTGTTGGTACATTGTCAACAGCCTCGAATACAGCACGAAGACGAGGTAACGGAGCTGTTTGTCGTAAAGCTTTGGCAAAAAAAGCTGTCGCCACTGATGACTTTAAAGTTATTGAGGTAATTATTTTAATAAGTTAATTCTTTTTTCTATAATTAAATGAAATAATTTAATAAAAAAAGATCAAGAGCTTGATAGATAAACAGATAAATTGATTCTTAGATAGAAGGCGATGGCAAAAAATCTGTGAGAAGTCTCACGGGATTGAGAAGGGACTCAGAAGTGATGTATGTCGGTACTTATGAGACTCAAGCGCAACAACAGATAGGCAAGAGAGGAAAAATATCAGATGTCTGGGGCACCCGCAGTAAAGCTCAGAGCACTCCAGATTTATTGGGCGATCGTGATTACGATGATGACGATATCCACGATACTAATGGATTCGGGAAAAATAATCTTGTTGAAGAGGCTGTGCTTTTTCAAGAACCTGCTAGTATCTTCAACAGACCAGGATTTGGTTCTGTTGCTTTTAGGCGATCGGTAATTTTTTTATGATTAATTATTGCTATTTTAGTCATTATTTAGAAGCAGAGTTATTAATTTTGGGCTAGAGAGATAATTTTGTGCAGTAAAGTTTTTTTTTTTTTGTTAAAGATAACTGCAACGCTAGAGAATTTACCAGTAAGGCTAATTGATGATGACCATAAGTATAATGATGCGTTGGAGAATGCGATGAATAATCGGAAAAATAGTAATAACATCAACAACAATAATAACAATATCAACGGACGTAATAATGAGGAAATAAGCATTGGGAGTGCTGGTAGTCTCGCTAGACGACAGAATATGTGGGACGATGATCGATTATCTGGTAAAATATTAGACTTAGTTTTGAAAATATCTATCCAGTCATTTTAATTAGACTATTTCCGATAGTTTGGGATAATATAGAATCTCAAAAATGTTGGGTTAATCAGTTAGAAAAAATGACTGCCTCGGGGTTAAATTTCACTGAGTTAACTTCAAACGATTAATGAAACTTTTTTCACATTCAAGCATTTGAATTTGTTTTAAAAATAAGCAGTTTATAAATGCATCATATTATTCATTAATACACATGAATGATCCAAGAAAATTGCTCACTGATAGTATTATATGGGTGATTCTCTGTAAGGATGTTTTTTGCTGTCCCAGACATTTTTTTATTAGAAAAATTGTTATTTTGTTACTAAAAAAAATTTATTATGAAAGTAAAAAAACATTTCTATTTAGAGCATTGAAAACTAAAATTAAATAAATTTTGGTTTTTTTGCTATAAATTCGTAAACCACCGAAATAACAGTCCCCTGGGCTGTCCCACTCCCACAATTAAAACTTTAAGATTAAATTTTAAGTTATTCGTCAATAATATATAATTTGGTCCATAATGTTTATAAATTTAATTAGTTAGCTAACAATCTTCTTCAATAAAAAGTACCGAAAATTAATTTGTTTCATTAAATTCATTAAACCAAAGTTTGTCCCAGGCATTTTAAAAATAGTCTCTTGTCAGAAGATCAAAGTCAAAAAAAAAAAATTCCAGCGTGTTATTTTACCTTTTGTAAGGTTTATAAGGACCTAACTAGCCTTGAGTTAATAACCATAGAGCTGTTAGCGCTTTATCGCCATTTTATTTAGTGTCAAAGCACCGTTTGTACTGGAAATATGTGGCTGGGCCACTTCAAAACTCAGTCCCCTGGCAACTATTTTTATTTATTATTTATTTATAAAATTGGATCCAAAAGTCTCAATATTATTCTAATTAATGTAAATATTCATTGAGAACTTGAAAAGTTGAATGCATTGAAATAGTTTGCTTGATTTTTCTCAATTTTATAACAAGAAAACAGTCCCCTGACAAACAGTTCCCTGTCATGTTATATAGCAAAAGATACACAAATATCGAAAAAGCGAAAATTAATTCGGCTGTTTATTTATTATGATTAAGCTGATAGTTTTATAGCTCTTGTTAATTTTTTTTCGAATAAAATCACAAATAATTTGGTCGGACAATTTTGTACAGATTTAAGACGTCCTTATTACAGAGAATCATCCATATAGTAAAACAGTATAAAATTGACGGTGAATATTTTAATTTTCTTATATACTTTAAATCAATATAATGAACTTTTTTGTTTAGAACCTTTTAATCATTGTTGTTACTTGTATCATTTACTTAATTAACTGTAATAGCAATAAATTAAATAATTAATACATTTTAACTTGAAACGAATGAGTCCGATGTAAGTATTATGGATAGTGCAAAAAAGTTCAAGCTGATGTGAGCATACCTTTTACCCCATTATAGACAGTTAAATTACATATTTTAATAATAAAAATTTTTGTTAAACGTAGCAAACTACAATATTAATCATTATTTTAATTAATTTGAGACTTAGATTTTCTATATTTTTTATCAGGCCTTTTTTAGCTTCTTTTATCTAATCTCAAAGGAGAAGGTTGATTTTATTTCAAATTATAACCTTTTTGTCTCCCTACAGTGAACACTCGCTGCTTATTTTATAATATAAATAAATCATTATATCATTATTTAGACTATAAAACATCTCAAGTAATTTAAAACGATACCAAGATCTTTTTTAACGAAATTTTAAAAAAATTTGCATCTACAAAAATAGTTATGAAATATTAACAATTTTAATTGTAATAACCTTAGTATAATTTTGAGTTATACTTTTCGATATTGATAAGAACTTTATATTAAATTTAGTATCAATAAAATAATAATATTTACTATAGGTGAAGATGATACTGATGAAACAGAAGAAGAATGGAGTCCACTTCAACGTTTTCTAGTGGCTAATAATTTAACATCGATACAACCAGTACTCGAAGCCGAGCAAATAGATTTAGAGGCATTAATGTTATTAACAGATAACGATATTGCTGCATTGAAACTTCCGCTTGGTCCACGAAGAAAGCTTACAAATGCAATAGCCACTCGGAAAGCTGCTTTCGTAACGTCTCAACGTATTATTAGAGATAGTAAACTATAATTTATAATGTAATAAATATTAATATTATCATACAATTATTGTTTAAGGTAACACAATTATTGTGTATAATGTAAAATGTGAATAAATTTTTTTTTTCCATTTATATTGATAAATAAATTTTCATCATAAAAAATAAATTTACAAGAACAGAAATTATTATTAAATTCCTTTTTTTCATCGATTTATATAAGTGTTATTATTAATACGCTTACAAATATGATTAATAACATTTGTTTTTTTTTTCTTTTCATATAAACAATCAAAAAAATTTATTTTTACTAATAATATTTATTAATTAGTAATTTATTCGAGTGTTAGTATAAATTAAATTTTTAATAATTATATTCTTAATTTACTATTATTACAAATAGACGGCGAACGAAATAATTATAAAAGTTTCTTTTTTGTTGATGAAAAAGAAGAAAATATATGAGCACCAATCGTGTGTCTGTCACGCTTTTCTTCTTCCGCATCTTTCACTCTCTTGTTTGTTTAATTTATTTTATTAATTTTTTAGTAATTAATTAAACGCATTAAAACATGTTCTGGTAAATCGATTACTTACTGTATTATAATATATTTAATATTAAACTCAACGTGAGAGTGATTAGTTACACAATTTAACAAAAAATTTATTATATTTATCAATAACTTAAATTAACAGTCATAGATTAATTTATTTAACTAATAATTTTGTTATTATGCATTTTTATTTCGAATAAATTTATCATTTTATTATTTAAAAAAAAAAAAAAAAAAAAAAAAAAAAATGATAGATTTATTTATACGAAAATAATTGTAATTGTGCTGTAACAATAAATAATTAATTACAATTATTTTAAATTAAAACGGAGCAATTTTTTTAATTTCGAATTAATTTTTATCTTATTTACATGGATTTCATTATTGATTCGGGTGGACAAAAGAAATTATTTACAATTTTATCCATGATGAAATTTATATTTAATGAATAACACAAATTAAAAAAAATTCATCTGTATATATAGATATTAATTAACTGAATCAAAAAGGCTTACTTTCGTCAATTTCTTGTGAATATATTAAATTATAAAAAGTTTTTAAGTATTCAATCTTTTTTGACAAAAAAATTTAACAAAGTGTGATTTAAGATTATAATTAGTTTCACTAACATTTCAATTAAATTATCAACGGTTTTGTAAGACTAGCAATTTTGACAATTTTGAGATAAAAATATTTTTAAAATTATTATGCAGTAAAATATTTGAGCCCATGGTCATCTTAAAAACTATAATTATCAAATAACTACGAATAAAAATTTAATAAGCAAATATGAATAAAAACTAGCAATTGTCTAAAAAAACAATGATTCAAACATTATAAATCAATGAAAAAAATAATGAATCAAAACATTCGCTACTCAAATAAATTAATCAATAAAACAGTAAATAACATTAAAATATTGCTCCGTTTTTGATAAAAATTCCTAGGTAATTTTTATTTTCTGTGTTTGTATCAATCTGTTAACAATTGCGCTTAAAAAAAAAAATAAATAAAATAAAACTGTCGCAATAATCTCATTCCAATAAAATCATCTGTGCCAATGTTTTTTTCTCTTTAAATTTTTTCCTACAAGACAGGACCCGAATCTATTTAAAGAATGAAACTTTTATAAAGTTAGTCTGATCGTGTACTAGTTAAGCTTTAGAAAAGAAAATAGTAAAATAAAAATTATATTGTTGAAAAAAAATAAAAATTCTATAATACAAATTTATTTAACTTAATCAAAAAAAGAATTATGATCACAATTAAAGCTATTATTAATTCATTTCTATTATTTAATAATTAATAAATGAATATTAATCAATATTAACTACATTACCTAGTTATTTTATCAACTTTTCGCATTTAATGTTGTTTGTTCCTTAATAAATACAATCTTTAATTAATTGATTAATTAATCAATTAATATGTATAAGCGTTATTTACAACCGAACAAAAATACTCGTTTATAAAACAGTATTCTTCGGGGTCTCAATCGATTATAATTTAATTATTTTATAAATAATTTTGTTCTCTTAAATTTCAACTATCTCTTAAATAAATAAAATCAAAAATAAGAGTACGATTGTTAAACTATATCACATATCTACTAGATATATTCGATATACTTTGTACTAAAAAGAAAGAAAAAAATCATTAGAATTAAATTAACATAAGAAAGAAAAACGACATATACGAATTAAACCTGGACCGCAAAATGATAATAATAATAATAATAATAATAATAATAATAATAATAATAATAATAATAACTGTTATTATTATAGTTACAATAATAATAATAATAATAATAATAATAATAATAATAATAATAATAATAATAATAATAATAATAATAATAAATAAATAAGTGGGCGTATGGTTAAAAGCAAAAACCAGTTCAGCCCGACGTGCTCTCGCATATTTAAATCGACCTTGAGACCCATAAGCGAAACGAGGCACAGTGCGTTGCAAGTAATGTACATTTACACTAACCTTCAGTCATTATCGGACAATATTGTGGTGGTACGATAATAAATGAAGGAACCTAACTATTTTTCACACACTTTTACATATTACACACACACACACACACACACACACACACACACACACACACACACACACACACACACACACACACGCATACATACACATATACATAATAAACATATACGCGGATATAATATTAATAAAAATAGCTGCCTGGATTGTGTTATGGCATTTTATTATTGATTTTATGAGATTTACTAATTTATTAAATCTAAATATTTGATTAAATGAATTTATTAATTACTGAATTTCAGTATCTAGTTATTTTTGTTCATTTAAATTACAATACTTCATTATTCTTACTAAATATCAAAATCAATACTTAATGAAACATAATCCGAAATTAACTAATAAAAATTTGTAGCGTTGATGATCGATAGAATTATATGTTAAAATTATATGTTATGTATTAAATTTATATGTTTAAAAAAAAATTGAATAAATCTCACAAATTAATTAATTTATTAATTATTAAATTGTCTTTTGATTGATTTGATTAAAAATCTCAGATAACTATTTATTAATATTTCCGCTCATATGTTACCTGTAGATATGTTTAACTATATATATAATATGTATAATATTTATATTTATAATATATAAATATACCAATTGATTAATTATGAATATACAATTATATTTATATACGTTCATAGCAGTGAGAATGTTATAGTAAACAAATCCAAGTATTTATATTTTATAATTAATATTAATATTTTCATTATTTAATTAAATTTCCTAAAGCTTTTATTCTACCGCATTATTCAATATTATTATTATTGTTAATATAATTATTATTTATATTACGTTTATTATTAATTTTATTTGAATATCTATTGACAATGAGCTACGTTACAACTCATCGTAAATAACAAAAAAATGTATTTACTTGTGAAAATTAACAATCTCTTGATTACTTAACTTTTTTTCCGTTGATGTTGCGATCGAAGTATTAAATAAAATGGATAAGTTATTTTTGTTGACATGACCGTAATGACTGTTGTTGTGGTTGTTGATCTTGTAATTTTTTTTGTTGTTCAATCAATTAAAATGTAGCAATACATTGAAGGGTAGAAAGGTTTAAAGGCTATTTGATAACGACATAATTCGTTACATGAAGCGTGAACGTTTGTGCGTAGGTGAGCCCATGTCCACGTCATGTGATGCCGGTCGCTTGTGATGCCGAGCAAACTCACTGCTTATGAATGCTGACAACTCTGATTGTCTTCCAGTACGCCGGGACATTGGTGATCCTGGATAAAATAATAAAAATGTTAATTTTATATTCTACGGCTGGAAAATTCATTTAATTTCAATAAAACGTTGATCGGTATTAGCAATAGTTAGTTTTTATGCTATGCTACCTTCGAGATTAGTATTTTAAATTAATTTATTCGATGCACGCACTAACTTCCGGTACACTTTTGTTATCTATAATAGAGACTTATATTTAAGTAAAAAATATTTGTCGAGTTCTTTGACATTGAGCCTAATCGGTATTGGAATTTATTATAATTCTTCTAACCCGTTATCACCTATTCGGTCATTTTCATGCTAGTATAAATTTAATTTTCAAGTGGATAGAAATTTCCATCTTCACTAACAATTTGAGACAATTCGTCTTCGGATAGTTAGGTCGATAGGCAACCATCGAACTTGAATAGGTGATAACGGGTTAGAAGAATTATAATAAAATCACGGTTGATAAAATTAATAAAAAGATTGGAATTTATATTTTATAAAAAACCGAATTTTGAATTTTTATTTTACTTAACAATAAATTTTAAATTCCAAATAGAAATTATAGGCAGTAAAAGACCTTTTCTGTTTATTAGAAAAAAAAATAAGAATATCTTATTAGCTTTAAGTGTACCAACAGATATAAAATTAAACCTAGTAATAAATTGCTCATAAAATTACTACGCACGTACAATTACGCAGTTGTAAAATAGTGCGTATGAACTTAAAAAAATTCTGAAGATATTAACTTAAATACAAATCATTCGCAACGAAATAATTGGCAATATTTAAAAAGTCAAAAAGAATAATTTATTATGAGACTACTTGCAAATTGTTAAACTTTTAATCAAGTGTTTCAAATAAATATTAACTTAACCGATAACTGCTAAAATTGAAATTAATCAATTCGATTATTACTTACAAAGGATAAAGATAATAAATTCAAAAATTTCAGATTGCGGCATTCGGAAGGAGTTGTCAATAACATTTAGATTGATCACATTTAAAGATCAATTGGCTATAAAATTTATTCAAAAAACGAGATAATATGCAAGAAACTTTGAAAAATTAATGACCACGCTAATTATTGAAATGAAACTCGAGCTTTCGATCATTTTATCCATCTATTTCTAATATACACTTGTGCATCCATTTGAATTTCAATCTAAAAGATTTCCAATAGTAAATAAAAATATAACACCGTTCGATAAAAATATGAAAATAAATAAAATTTTACTATTATAATATTTTTCAATAAATTTGTATATTTATATTAAATTCTACTCAATCGAATTCAATACTTTCTTAGACTACAAGAAAAAATTCTAGTTTAATACGCCTAGTATATATTAAATAGATTGAATAGAACTGAAAAAAAAAATCAATGCTCATCTTGTACGCCAGGCGAATGTAGAGCATAGATAATATATTTAAGAAAAGCTAAATTTTTTTATATTTGATTTTTTAAACATTAAAAAAAATTAATTTCAATTACTTATGTAAGCAGAATTTTCATAATAATTGATTTTAGTAAAATAGATTAAATATTTTAATATGAACCGAAGCTTAATTAAAATTATCAAAGTGAGAATGCAATATTGTACACAGTTAATTAAAAATTTAATTCCAAATTGAAAAATTTTTGGCTAATTTAGAACACGCATACCTGAAATGAATTGATAATTTTCATGTTCAATATTTGTTAATATACTGTAATTTTCGTTATGAACAAACTGAACGATTTTTTAAATTAAATTAACTTTTGCATTTACTATACAGTCCAAATTCCGGTAAAATTAGATGAAACATTCATCCGTACCCGTTCAGTTGCAGCTTGACTACAATTAACTATTTCGTTAACTGCAAGACAAAAAATCACAGTTTCTATTTTAACGATGCCCAAAACTAAAATTATACATCATGTGTTATTTGTTTCGCACAGACACGATTTTACTTTCAGAAGCAACTCTAACATAGTAAATGAGAATGTCAAAGAACTAGTATTAAAAAATCAACTTTGAAAAGAATTAAAATATCAAATACATGAAAATTAATTTATCACTCGATAACCCAAAAAATAAACTGATCTTTGCATTTTTTAAACTAAATGGTATAAAATTAAATAATTATTCACCGTTTAAGGCAATAGCTTCTCTAAAAGTATGAAGTTCTGAATCTTGATCAACTGGTTCTGGAGTTGGGGTTACAACCATACTTGCCGCAGGACTCTGTGATGGCGGGGAACCACACACCATCATACGAGGTTTCGGCGAGCTTCTGAAGTAGAAAAAAAAAGAAAATTTTAATAATCTATACAATCAATACAAACCACTTAAGCTCAATATAAGCAACATGACACAATATTTTTACTGTAAAATCAAAATAATATCCGAAATTTTTATTTACTTCCATTTTTATTGAAATAATTTAAACAACTTGAGTGTATGTCTACAATCCTAAATCTAAATTTGAAAAATAAAATATGTCCATTGCTTTGTGCCGTCCGTACGTGTACTCGTTCATATAATATTTCATTCGACGACATTTTGTCGAGAAATATGAACTAACATTATTACAAATAATGTTTGAACATGACTTGGATATTTTCTGCGTAGTTAAAAGAAAATTTAGAAACTGCTTTATTAAAAAAAAAAAAAAGGCCATTCGGCAGCCGAAATGGAAGTAGATTTCATGATGAACAAATAGAATACTACTAGGGTTACATACAAAAAAAAAAATTTTCTGTTACATTAAATAACAATGACGTCAAAACGAATGCAAAAGTAAAATTTCATTAAATCTATTAAAATTTAATAAGCTTTCAGATGCTCTTTGTAGAATTTTGATAAAATATCGCGTTCAATTGTAATTGTACGGAAATACGGAAAAAGTGAAAATTTTTGCGATTTTTGAAAATTTTTGAATTGCTATTATTCCTATACTATTCAATTTGGAAAATTAAATAAGTATACAAATTGAAGCTTATTAAATAAGCTTTCAAATGCACTTTACAGAAATCCGATAGGATGTCGCGTTCCATTGTTATTACACGGAAATAAGGTAAAAGCGAAAATTTTTTTCAATTTTTGAATTGCTCTGATTTCTAAACTAATCGAGAGATTAGGCTCATCTTAGAACTTAACCTTGGAAATCGTCCTAAAAATAAGTATGTTACGTTTTATTGAGATCCGTACAGAATTGCGGGAGTTAGAGAAGAGACAAGGCCAGTTATATCGTATATATATAAACTTTTGAACCATATGCATTTTCTGAATCCGCTTGACGAGCTGAGTCGAAATATAGCAAAATTTTTCAAAAGTTCCGTCATGAGGACCAATGCAATAGTTAGATTTCTATGAAATCTACTAAAAAACGAAATACATATAAAATTTTTAAGGAGGACCCTCCTGAAAAGACTAAATTTAATCCGACTGATTGTATGAAAAAATTAAAATTACAATAAAGAGAATAAAAATTACCTGTGAGCATGAGGTCTAGGTGGTGGTGGTGGTTTACCAGCCAGATACGCCAATAAATCTTCACGTCTAATGTTCCGTCTTTTCTTCCTCGCCCAATTCATTATTTCTTTACTTCTCTTCTGTCTCCCAATATCAACTCCTAATTCGTTGCATCTCCTCATACCATCCAACGAATCTGTCAATAAATAAACAAAACAATAAAATCCATCGGTTAACCACAACAATACACAATACATATTGTTCTATAAATTAATTAACAATGATAATTAATTATCATCGTTATCAACGAATATCTACACAACTATTTAATGTCAATACCATCTGATCCTGAACAAAACGATAACTTCATACTAACAAAGGCATGACAAATATCTCGGTAATTATCTAATTATTATTATCATTTCAACATGAATAAAAACATCTAAATGAAGAGAAAAAAAAATAAATGGATTAATAAACTTACTTTTGTAAAGAGATGTTACCGTTCCTGCAGCGGTTTGAAATGGTAGCCAAAGTGATGCACCTTGCGTACGATCTAATGAATAAATAAATAAATAAATAAATAAATAAATAAATAAATGAATGAATAAATAAATAAATACATAAATGTAATTATAAATAATATTTAAAAATAAATCGAGCTAAACAAAATGGATGTCACTTAAAAAATGGCTACACCTTCACTACTATTTACGGTCGACAAATATATTATTAATAACAATTAATAGAATATATTGAAGCGTAGATTGCAATACTTATCGAAAAAAAAGAGCCGTGAAATGCAATGAATAAATAAATACCTTTATAGAGTTGAGCAATGGCTGAAGCTGTTGTCTGAAAACCCGTCCATATTTGCTGGGAATAAATTTCCTTTTCGTTGTGTAATTGACTCTCATAATCAGGTTCTGATTCAATAGTTTCAATACACTGTTGTTCCCAATTTGAATACCAGATATCCATGATTGGATCTTCATCACTGCGGTCATCACTCATTTTTATTTATTATTTTTATTGAAAGTCCTTAGAAAATTGTAAGCTGTTTTTAAAACCACTAGTCCAGATATTTTATTTTATTATTATTACAGTAATTTTTATTATTATTAGATAAAGTACTTAATTGTAAAACGAAATAAAAAAGTGATATTTATAAATTAATAAAAATATACTTTAAAGACTGACGAGGGCTAAGATCTCGGATGATGATGAAGGTCAGGTCGCGGCCATTACAGAATTAATCTCGTGCTTTTATATACGTGTATGCACATGTATATACATTTATATTAGGATGTAAGTATGTGTACACAATATATACGTATGTATGATATTGTCTTTCACGTATTAAATAAACACCAACCACACAACACTAGATTAATTATTCCTGTTACTTTTTTCGTAATTAATGCAGTATTTATTTGTAAGTGGTGGATAAATGTACCCGTTGGAGCAGAGATTGCTAGTAGATGGGGTAATTATGATGGTGTTTGGCTAGATGTATGGTTAGTTGGTTGGTCGAGTTGATGGAACGTTATGGCATGGCGGATGAAATTCCAAACGATGAACTCACTCTTCCAACCAACAAATGTCTACTGCCGTGTGCTCTCTACGAAATATAATATGGTTGCTGCTTCCAGTTGTTTTCCTGTCGCTGGCGCTTGATGACTAGATGAAAGCAAACGCGGTAAATTTTAAACAAGGGTTTAGTTTTTTAGGCGCGAGCAGAGCATAGTCTTCACGCGTTTACGCTTATCTTAAGGCATGCAACATCATTCTTCTGTGCACCTATCATCATCATCATCATCATCATCATCATCGTCAAATTAATTACAATTAAAAAAATTCTTCCAAAAATTTCCACCAATAATTTTTTTTAATTATCACATATGGAATTTTTTTTCATAATAATTTCATTGCGATAAAATTATAAAAAAATTTCTAATGTCTGTCAACTTCAGAGTTATTTTAAATGCTAAAATTAATAAGAATCTATTAACTTAAACGTTAATAAGGACATAAAAAATAAAAAATTTATGAAAATGAAGTTAGCTGACAATTCAAAATTTTTATGAATTTTTTATCGAAAAAATTTCAATTAAACAATTAAAAAAAAAAATATCATATGTTAAAAACTTAAAAAACTATAAGTGCAATTTTTTATAAATATCTTTTTAGTTGTAATTTAATTAAAAAAAAAAAAATCAAAAATTTTTAGCCGTTTGCTAACTTCAGTGTCATAAAAATTTATGATACTGAAATTACCAGATACTTGACAATTTTTTGATTTTACTTGAATAATAAATTAGGCCTAGAAAATTATTTTTAAAAAATTATATTTACAATTTTTTAGACCTACAAGATGGAATTTTTTTGATAAATTTTTCTTGCTATAATTTATTTTCTAAAAATCATTAGTTATCTCTCAAATTCAGTATCATAAAAATTTGTCACATCAACTCATCCCTGAATAGAAAAAAGTATTGAAAAGTATTGGATTGACTAGAAAACCAATACTTTTCAATACTTTTTTCTTTGTCTCAATACTTTTATTTTATCAGGGATTACCAATAATACTTTTCAAGCAAGTTATTAATTATTAACATTTATTTATGTTGTAAAGGATAAAAATTAACTAACTAAGGAATAACCCAAAACAAGAAACAACTTATTCCATAATATCAAATTTTTAGTATCATCTTCTATAAGAGTGTGCATATGCGATAGTATATTACACACCTAGGGAAGTAAAGTAAGAAATGTCTCAGATCACATGTAATTGTTGGCCGAGGCGAAGCCGAGTTATTTACCGTGGAGTGTATACTATTTTTTTTGCTCGACGAAGGCAGAAAGGGGCAACTTTGTTTAGCGCAGCGGGCCGAAAGTTGACGCTTTCTGCCCGGATGGCAAAAAAATATTTTTTATCAAAACTCGCTCTAGTGGTGAAACTGAAAAACATCAAATGTCAAAAATTACGATTTGACCTTCTGTCAAAGTCTATTCCTTAGGCAAGGGGGTGGGGGAGTGGAGAAAGCAATGAATAGCTTACAAGTTTCACATATTTAACCTTCAATAAAATTTAATTTTTTTTTATTATCATATTTTATTTAATACACAGAAGCAATTAATAAAGTTTCAGAAAAGATAAAGCGAAAGGGAGGACCACTCGGTAGGATTTTTTTGATAATCGAAAAAATAATTCAGACAGCCCGGACCAAGAATCGAACCCAGATCTTTTAGTAAGTCTTATAGCTACAAATAGTAATTTATAATTAAAGTAACTGTCATCTAATAATTTATCATTTACAAATATTTCAGCTTGTTGTTTGATGAGATCTAATGGGAAATTTAACGAATGCGAAATTGTTTAATTCAAGACTTAATTATAAAAAATTAAAGCATCGAAGAAAGGTTGGTAGATTTTTATTCATTTATTATTTTTATTATTCATAAGATAACTGCCGAAAAACTTATGACATTAAAGTTAGCAGTCGCTTAATCATTTTTTAATTTTTTTTATCAAATAAATTTTTTCAAAAAAATTATTTTTAAAAAATTGCATTTTTAATATTTTTAAATTTCTACATGTCAATTTTTTTTTCTAATTTTTTTTGCCCTAATTTATTTCTTTAAAAAATTCTAAAATTTATTAAATATCTGCTACTTTAATTTTCATAAAAACTTAATTAACTGATCAAGTCCATTTTTTTATACGCTTTAGTATATTATCCAAAACTAAGAGCCCTTTCGAAGATCGCGGTCTAATTCAATGAAGTTTAATTACAATTTTTGTTTTTGAAATAATATGTACTATCGTTTACAATTTTTTCGTTTGCAACTAATTATTATAAAAATAAATTCTTTAGTTATTTTTTAGTCATTATTATAGTCTTTGCCAACGTCATGAATGTTGTTCAAGGAATAATATCATTCGTGATAATTCAACCCCAAATTTGTGAAATAATTAACAGCAACTAGAATGGAGCAGCTAACAGGTTTCCTAGAACAGGATTCACTTATAATGTAAGTATAAGACAGTACTATAAATGTATGATAAAGTCACTCCAAATCGAAGGATTCCTTTACTTTGTGATGACAATTACCTTCAATCATCAGCAGTTGATGCAAAACTCCAGTATGCAGTATTTTAACTACAGTTCTTTTTATTGATTACAATCAACTACTGACTATGTTTCAATTTATCATTTATATCAATTTTCTGATAATGCGTTTACATTTATCTAAACAATTAGCACGGAGGTCTGCCTGAACTATAAGTACAACGGAAGTGGCCAAAATTTGCAAAGCCAAAAATTTGTTGCCGTGAATACTTAATTGCAATTCTATACTGTATTAAATGAAACCAAAAAGGATAAATAGTAATTAATGGACTTGTTGAAGCTTATAAAATGCTTCTAGAAAAATAAAAATTACTTTAATTCTAACGATAATAGTATCATTGAATCATAATTGTTTAGTCATATCTTTTAATTATTAACTAAACTTATGTTGTTGATGAATAACATTATTTTTTTAGCTGACATTTTATTTATTCAGCTTATAACTAAGAACTGAAAATCCATTTAAAAAAGTAAACGTAATATATTGTATGTATTTATTTATTTAAATGATTTAGCTTCACGAAGAGTTGTTCAATCAAATTTTCTTAACGATAATACTCTTATCTGAGAATATTTTAGTTTATTAAGAGAATTGTTAGTATAATTATGAATGCTTTTGATAAAAAATGTTTGTTTCAAATTACCAAAATTATATCAAATAATTTTTGTTTAAAAATGTAGAATCAAAAAATGAGCTTATATATATATATATTCTGAAAGTAATTGTTATTATTTTTACTAAAACTTATTTCAAATAAATAGGAAAATTGATATATTAAAAAAAACAATTTATTATGATTATTTTACAATTCAATTTGATTTCATCAATACACTGTCGTTTAATAAATACAATTTACAAATTTTATAGAAAATATCTAAAACTATTTTTAATTACAAATCAAAATTTATTTTTTTTTTGTTTTATTCTTTCATTACATAAAAAATTAATTTAATAATATCGAGCAGTTAAAAAAAAACATACATTACAGAATGGTTATTTGATTTTTAAAACGATAATTATCACAAAATAATCTTTCGGAATTGGATAAAGTTGTTGATTGAATATTGATAAAATCATATAATTGTAAAATCACGTTTAAAAAAAGATTTAATGTTCACTGATATGTAGATCATTAAAAACAACTTTGGCCGCTTCTACCAAATCGCTACAAATTCCCAACTCCGACCAATTTTTTAATATCACAGTTATGCCGTTTCTCAAGTAGTCATCTTCTCGTGAGTTTTTCAAATGGAAAAATACCATCAGAAGACATTTTTTGTAAGCAAGTACCAGTTCCGGTGCGCTCTTTTCTGCTTCTTGAATTATTTTATTTGCCAGCACCATGAAGTACAATTTGTGGTATGGTTTTGCTACCAAAAATAAAAAAAAAAAATCACGTGCTTAAATAAGTAATTTTTAAATGCATGATTTTTATGACTTAATAAAAAAAAAAAATTACCTTTGTATAATTCACTCGCCCAAGTATCAATGATTAGTTTGGTTTTTTGTTTATGATGTACAATGAACTTGTACAACTCTTCAACAGACGCTGTAGAGGCGCGCATGTGGACCAAACTGACCAATTTTTCTCGTAACTTATCTTCACTGAAGTGGCAAAATAACTTCATCTTGTTCACGTATTATTGATGTAAAACCAAATCGTTAAAAAATAAAATCAAAAATAATCAAACATTTACTCCTGTATTATTACAAAACGACACAGTATTACAGTCACTGCTATGGATTACAAACAGTAACTTGAGCAACCTATACTCTCCGACGTGTCGACGCAAACTGTGAAAAAGCTTGAGTGTTTAGATTTTTCCAAAGAAAATAATCATATACTGTACTCAAATTATCCCTACTGTAATTACTACTTTACTTTTACTATTACTATTAAGTGTCCATCTACAGAGTCACTGCCAAAATATATTAACTTTACTTCCTTCCAAGTACCTGACTATGGATTCTTTTTGCTTTCCAAAATATTGTATACTAGGTATTATTTTTGCAAGTTTTAGAAATTAACCCTGAGGTAAATGGAAGCCAACCAGAAGATTTTAGAAAAAAATTTTTGGGATAAAAAAATAATTTTCTTGTTTTTAAATTTATTTTTTTATTTATTTGCAAATTAATATTTTTGTAATTATGTATTAACAGCGTGGTCATCAGGTATACTCTATAGACACGACAGATATGATAAATTTTAAAACAAATATTTTTGGTATACAATGTACTTAAATATTGATTAAAAGAGAAATTGATTTCAGATAGATTATTGGTAATTAAAATTGTCATTGTTATCGGATTAAAATGGAACAAATTTTAAAATGCTGTTATAACATTGACTTTTGTTTAGTACATTAGTTATAATTAATTTGAAGGTAAAATTTAATAACTTCAAATATTCAAGGAAAAAAAATTATTTTATTTTAAATCAATGTATAGTTATGATTAAATATGATAATAAACCATTCATATATTAGTGTAGACATATATGTGTTGTTAAAATGTATGATAACACACACAGAAATTTGAATGTTAGACCTTTTTGGAAACTCTGACCCAAGGCTACTATGAAATGTGCGCAGTACAACGGTTTTAGATAATTATTAAACATTACTGGCACTTTAAGCGTTTATATTATTGTCTATTAATATAAATAGATTTTGAATGTGTCAAACAAAAATATTGAGTCTAAATTTCAACGATTGTATTATTTTAAATATTTTTCATGAATGTACAAATATTTGTTAGAAGTAATGATTTAAAAGTAAATAATTATACGATATTGATATTACCATTCTATCTATAAAAAACCAATCTGAAATTTTTAATAAGTTTAAAAGAAAATTAGAGTGATTAACAAAAAAATTCATTTTATACAAATTGTTATGAATATTTAATTACCAAATATTGGTGAAATTAGTCGTTATAAAATATCTTAATAAGCACCCTCCGCTTTTTCACAACAAAATTTTATTTTATTGTTAATAACTTTTTTTATTTTAAACTTATGAAAAATTATTTTTTATTCTTTTACTTTAGTTTTTTATCAAAGAGCGTTTTTTTAGTTTTTTGAACTATAATTTATCAAGTTTGTAACTATAGTCATACCTTCTTATGACAACAATGGGTAATTTGCGCGCCTGTTGCCTTCTTTGGATGTGATAACCGTTTTTCCGGCTCCTTCCCTGGCAAATTTAAAATTCGCAAATCCCAAAGATCCTGATCAATGAGTCAAACTTATTATGAAATCATTAGATTGTCGTCGATCCTTGATAATTGTGCGAAGTTTCATTTAAATCCGACATTTTGAATTGGGTAAAAATCACGTTCAAGGATTCCATTATATACAAAAAAAAAAAAAGTCATTTAAAAAATAATCACTTAAATTTATTATGAATACACAAATATCTACAATTTAAAAAAAATACGACGTATATATATTAACATTTCTATCCAAAGTACAAAACTACTTTATACGATTTTTTTATACAAAGTAAAGCTTTAAGTACAATCAACCGTGATTAAATTTTGAAAAATAATTTTTTTATACTCTATTGCACAAACCTTAGCTTATAACTGCTTACTTAAATAAACTAAATAGTTAATAATATCAGGTAAATGTACACTTCTAATACAGAAAATTTATAATTATAATTAAAAAAATTAATAACAACTAACATGTATTAAAAATCATACAAGTGGTCCTTCATTGTCTGTAGTTCCGTTTATGTCAATGGCCGTTTTTTCCGGCAAACATTTCATTATCGTCGGTTCTATTAATTTCCACACTTCAGCTAACTGTTAGAAAAAACCAATAATTAGATATTATTTATAGATTTATTAAAAATAAATTTAAAAACAAATTATTAATAAAATTTACCTCTGAGTGTCCACAAATTTGAACTTTAACCAGGCTTTGTAATACAGTAGCAAGAATTTCAAGATGTGCGTGAACAAGTTGCGTCTCCATATGCAAACAGTGCAACGAAAATGAATTTCTTAATTCAACATTAGCTATTACTGATTCTTGTGCTACCATTTTATTTTCTAAATATTCCACAGTATCAGCCTGTGGAAAAAAAATAATTTATTTTTACTGTAAAGTTTGATTATTAAAAAAAATATGAACATATAAAGTAGATATTAATTACTAACATCGGTACCACGTATTACACCTTGCATTTGTCGTTTTTTTAATGCTAACATTGTTGACAGCGCGCGTTGATGATCAGCACTAACTCCTCGTTCATGTCTTTCACAAAGTGTTCGATGCGCAACTAAAACGTCTAATAATAAATTCAATCTCTCGCATACCGTCGTTTCTTCACGCACCGCTTGTTGTAATGCACGTGCTGATAATAAATGAAATTCCCTATTAAATAGGAATTTAATATAAATCATTGATCAATTCATTAGCCAGATAAGATACATTTTCATATTAATCAATTAAAAAAAAAAAAAAAAAAACTTACTTGGCAATTACATGAAATCCTTTTTTCATATTCTGCCAAATAGTTGAACCACCACTGGCCCATCCGCTGTTTCCATGGGGTTCAGCAGCTAAATTGCTCAGTTGTGCACCCAATTCAGCCATATCCGCTGCGTAAGAGTGCGACCTTATCGCCAAACAATCTGCGATATTTTTTAATCTCGATATTCCGCATAGTATCATTCGTATTTGATCCCGGCTGTTAGCGAATTCCGTTAGAGTTTCTGGAGGTACCAGTTCTTTCGCTCGTGACGACAGCTCTGACGTTGCAAACTCGTCGGGTACGCGACGAAAGACATCACGTATTTTGTATTGAGTCTCTTCGCCGGTGTAGGTGAAAAAAAATTGTACTATCGGGTCTGTTCTGACGACTGGATGACGTGCTATTAGGATGAGAAAACGTAAGAGTGATCTTCTTCGTTCTTCTAAGAATTGCGAATCCGCTGTAAAAAAAAGAGAATTCATCAGTTTGTTTATATTTTTTTACACTGAAAGAAAAAATTTATTTTGGTAGGAATAAGCAATGGTGTAAAAAAAAAATTAATTTGTTGAAAATTTTCAATAATTTTATTTCTTAGATGAAGAAATCAAAATTTTTCTCATAGTCAATTTCTTGTTGAAGAAAAGTTTTCCAGATTTTTTCAGAGAAAAAACAAATTTGTATGAACATTCGCAAGTTGTCTATCTAAAAATTTTTTTTTTCCAAATTAAAAAAAAATTTTTTTCAACAAGAAAGTTACCTACTGTGAGAAAAATTTTGATTTATTTAGCTAAGGAATAAAATTGTTAAAAATTTTCAACAAATTAATTTCTTATCACAATGCCCATTTTTTCAAAAGAAATTTTTTCTCTCAATGTAATAGGATTCTACTTCATTTTGAAAAGTGTCGATAGATAAACTTGAAAAATTAATAACTACACAATTTAAAATCTTTCGAAAAATTTAAGATCTTAAAAATATTCTAAGGCATTAGACAAACATTTTCCGCGTTATTTGATTATGAATTAACACTAAAAAAATAACACCTTGTATTGCGTAGTATTTTCATGGAATCCAATTTAAATAAATTAGTAAAAACTTTTAGAAAAATAATCTGTAACCAAGATTAAACCAAGTTGTCTATAAAAGTATTATTCAAGAAAATTAATTTTAAACCACAATGAACTTTCATTAAAATATAACTTTTCAGTCCAGACTTAGTTTTTCAATATGAAAACTAATTCTTTTCCAGATATCAATCCTTAAAACCGAGATTCACATGTATGCTTGAAGTAAAAATTGTAATGCCTATTAACTTGTAATTAAAAAGATAAAAGTATTAATTCAGTCGCGCATTCTTAAAAAGTTATCATCAAACTTAACCGGAAGTTTACTGTTTACAATGGAATAGCATCGTTGACCTATAAGTAACTTACGAACAGACAATATTATATGTTTAATTTATATATTTACAATTTTTGTTTAGTAATATTAATATTAATTAAAAACATTTATTTTGATTAATTTACTAACATTTCATCTTTAAGTATATCTTGATATAAATTGTAATGGTATCATTAATTAAGTAAGTTCCATTGAAGATATTCTGAACCCATAAAATATTGACATGTTTATTGTAAATAATTACCTCCGACAATTTTTTTAGGCGGCAGTTTTGGTATTAACCGATACGGAAATCGTGCAAGGAGGAGATCATGAAGAGAAACAAAGTCATTATACCTCCTGTGTACAATTGAATTAAAAGCCTAAAATAGTAAAATAAAATGTCAAATTAAACGAAAAACTACTTGAAATTCTAAAATATTTATTAAATAAATATTAATGCAATAAAAATTTTAAAACATACCTTACTTGTTACTTGATACTCTACGTGTTTTAAAAAAATTCCTTTTCGCTCCGGAACTAAATTAACTTCTATCGTATCTAATTTACAAATATCTGAGTACATAAGATTCAACTTCGCTGGGTTGTTTCCTTTGTATAATCTTTGCGCTAATAGAGTTACTTCTGAAAGATCGCCGAGCACAGGAACTGGAAGCTCTGCATTTAAAAATATTTGTAAATATTAATCATTAAAGAATATTAAAGAGTATTCGTTGAATGAATTTGTTTAAGTAAAAAAAATCGTACCTTGAGATTCAACATTTTCTAATAATTTATCACTTGGTTGTTTACCCTGTTGAGCAAATGCTACAAGTGCTAGTCCTTTATAAAGTCCACTGCGGCTCAAAAATCCTGTCCTACTGTCCACGAGGTCCCATATCTGTAACAATAATCACTATTTAATTTTAAATCCAGTACACTTTTTAACAGAAAAAAATTCTTTTTTTTTGTGTTTTTTTTTAATACTTATAGTAATTTTTTTTTTAATTTTTATAAAAATAAATTCAGACTATTGACACTACTTTTCATTTTTGATTTTACTTTTTAAAATTGATTTAAGTCACGAATGTTTCTACTTATCGTTATGTACCTTTTGGTTTTTATATGCCTCGGATAAATTAATCTATGATTTTTATTATAATCGATTGGACAAAAAAAAATAAAAATTTAAACACATCTGTGAAAACAGTTAGCAAAGTATAAATTGTACCAAATGTCAATAATTGGAACGTTTAAGTACTGATAATTTCTATCACATTTATTAAACTACAGAATTCTGTAGTTAAAACCGTATAAATTCACTTCATAATTGATTGATTTCATGTAGTTGAATGTTAAATTGAAAAATTTTATAAATATGTATTTAATTAAATTTACAAATTAGAAATTTTTATATAAATATTTACATACAAATTTTGTTTATAGTTTATTGATTTTTATATTTTAAATTTTGTTTTTTATTTAAAACAAATGTTGTTTAGCCTATCCCTGATAAAAAAAAAAGTATTGAGACAAAGAAAAAAGTATTGAAAAGTATTGGTTTTCTAGTCAATCCAATACTTTTCAATACTTTTTTCTTTGTCTCAATACCTTTTTTTTATCAGGAATGTAAAATTTTTATGATGTGTAAATTAAAAACTTTTTTTCAACATGAAAGTTACTGTAAGAAAAATTTTGATTTTTTCAGCTAAGAAATGAAATTGCTGAAAATTTTCAAAAAATTAATTTCTTGTCACAATAATGCCCATTTTTTTGTTAAGAAATTTTTTCTCTCAGTATATTTTTTAGCTATTCAGTTTATTATTATGGTATTCCTACTTGATTAATCTAATAAAATTTGCATTAATCATTTTTTATTAATAAGTTAAGATTTTTAATTATAAAATTTAATCTCTTTTCATTTTTTCTCATACTTATTTGATGTCTAACAAACAATTAATTAATTTAAATCAATAAGCTAAATAAGTTCAATTATAAGTTATCAGATCCTTAAATTAACATGTTGTTTGAAAATAAAATTTATAAAAATCGGACAGTGCAGATCCAAAATACTCGCACCTAAATTTAATATTTCATATAACAACTAATTAAAGTAAAAAATTACAGCTTGAAAACAATTTTACATTAGATATTGATGTATGTTAGAAGAAATAAATAAATATAGTAACAAAAATTATTATTATTATAAAACATGAGCCGTTTGTGTACAACTTGCGTGAATGGTCATTATGATTGTACTATCACGATACATACGTACACAGAGAACATCCGGAGATATCGCAATGCAAGTACAACGTGTTTGATATACAATATATATATATATATTAGACTGTGCCAAATAAATCGACTATTTTTTTTTTTTGGTCTCATATCAAAATTTCGTTGAGAGTGACGAAAAAAAAATTGTGTCAAAATTTGAGCCCTCTATTCTTCATTTTTAAGTTAGCGCTCGCAAAAATAAGAATTTTCGCCAAAAAAAGTTTTTTTTCACTTATTTTTTGGTTATAGACAATTTAATATACCAAATATAAAAAAACCCTTGGTATGGTTTTGTAGGAAATTAAATTCTCTACAAAGATGATTTTTTATCGA